ACCCCAGAGAGCTCCAAGCTTCCGGCTGAGTCACAGGCCAGGGGAGAATCTCTAGATGAGGCTGGGGGCTGAGTTGTTCCCGCATCACTTCCTGCTGAGAGCCCAGGCCCTGAGGGTGTGGGAGTGGGGCTCTGCAGGTAGCTCTGACCCTCTCAGAGGGCGAGGGCGGGCGAGGCCCAGGGTGGAGAGGGCTCAAGGCCTTGAGGTGGGACAGCCCCAGGCCTACCGCCATCCTGCCTTCTTGGAGCCCTGGAGAAGCCACTGGCTCAGGCCTGCCCAGGCTAGATGGGACGGCTTCATCCCTGCCCAGGCTAGATGGGACGGCTTCATCCCACCTGGGAGAACTGGCCACGGCTTCAGGCAGCCTGGCTTTCTCTGCACTGGACTAGCCCGCTGGGTAGAGGGTGTGGAGGATGTCTGAGCAGCACAGGTAGCCCAGGAGACCGCACAAGACACTCTCTTTCCACACAGAGAGCAGGGTGGACACTAAGACTGACCCCGAGGTGGGCCAGCGCTCACGGAGCTGAGCGCACAAACACCTCCTTTTAGTCGCCTCTGCAGTTAGTACCCCAGAGCGAACACACAAGCATGGACAAGCCCTGTGGTAGGGTGTACACGCACACAAACACACACATGGGCAAGCTGAGGCAGGAACCCCACTCAGAACACCGCCGAGCAGGGACCACCTCTCACACACCGCATGGGCCCGTGACACCGGCCCGTGTCTGAGCTGTTGCTCTCTGCTTGGCCGTGAGCCCCTCATGTGACCAGACGCAGGCCTAGGTTAGAATGGCCCAGGACGAGTTTGTTAGCCATGAGGAGCAGGGAGGCCCAGCTCTTCAAAGCAACCCTGTTTCTCTGGCAGCTCTCGCTGGGCTGGATTTTCCTGCAGGGCTTTTTGGTTTTGTTTTTGATCCACTCAAGTGTTGATCGTGTGCCAGATACTGTGCCAACACTGGGATAACGTGTGCGAAGTTGTTTTGAGTAAAGCTCCCAGTAAATGTGGGTTATTATTATGTATGTTATAATTTACATATATAATATCATTTCTTTTTGTAACAATCCTATGAGGCGAGGTGGTATTATTCTCATTTTACAGATAAGGAAATTGAGGCTCCAAGATGTTAAGTGGCTTGTCCTGGTAGCAAACGGACAGTAAGTGACAGAGGCAGGATTTGAACCCAGGTCTCTGTGCTTCTAATCTGTGTCGCACTGAGACTCCCAGGCGCTAAGCCAGCCCCACTGACCAGCCCTGGTGAAGTCCACAGGGCAAGAGGGATTGTGGAGGGCCAGGCCTTCAGGACACCATGGCTTTGAGTCTGAGAGACTCAGGGCAGAGGGGTGAAGAGGCAGCATCCCCAGGATGGGAGTGCGTGGTGTGAGGGGCCCCTCGCCCGTTTCTCCCAGGTGTTTTCTGTCCCTTGGCCGTTTCATTGACTGGACTCCCAGTGTGACTGGAGGAGGTGTGGGGGCCTCTTGAGCAGCTGGCTTCTTCGGAGGGCTGGGCTGGACCGGGGCTGGGCAGCTGGCGCCCTGGCTGGCCCTCCAACCTGGCTGTGCTCTGCCTGCATGACCCTTGGCAAGTCTCCCCACCCCCCCAGGCCTGAGTGAGTCTGAGCTGCCACCTGGACTGAAGCTTATCTCTGACCTTTGGCATTTCTGTATGTGGACAGATTCCAAGAGCAGCCTCCTGCCCAGACTTACGGGACCCACCTGGGTAGAAATGCCCCTCCTCTGTAGGCAGATAAGCATGGGCATATGTGAGCCAGCCTTGCTGTCAGGAGCCTGGAGGGCTGCAAAAGATGAGGAGGGACTGTGGTAGCCATTTGCCCTGGTCTAACTGACTCCTTGTGAGCCTGCTGGGGGTTTTATTTTCATTATCCCCATGATGCATATGAGAAAACTACAGTTTGGTGAGATGACGTCCACACTGCCCTACAAAGGACCTACCTACACGGTGCTTCTCAAAGTGTGCTCCTTGGGCCTCCAACTTCAGAATCCCCTGGGAGCTCATAAAATTGCATGTTCTCAGGCTCCATCCCAAGCCAGCGGCGTCAGAGTCTCCAGGGGCAGGTTGTGGATCTAGAGTTTAGATCTTCCAGGTGCTTTTGCTGCATCTTGCAGTTTGCAGACCAGGAGTCCAGGGAGGAGACCTCCTGAGCCGGCCTTTGTGTACGTTGCTTAATGACTCTGAGCTTCAGTTTCTTCATTTGTAACCTGGAGATAGCAGCAGTTCCTACCTCACAGGATCATCGTGGGCACCCAGGGAGTTAATATCTGCGACATGTTTACCCAACACCTTCCTGTGGTGGCCAACGGGAGGGGTCTCTTTTGGGGGGGCGGTTCTTCCCGGACCAGAATGCAAAATGGTCAGGTTGCTCGTTCCAGAAGGCTGACCAGCTCATCAGCACAAAGTACAAGCAACGTAACTGGGCCCCAATTACGTGTTGGGAAACTTTCTGGTTGGGAAAAGTAGGGGGTTAGTGCTGGAAACTTTCCTTGGGCCTCCCAGTATATAGAGTGCTGATAGGAAGTGGTGAGGAGTTGGGAATTTGAGGCAAAAGACCTGGAGTCTAGTGTGATTCTGGACTTAAGTGTTCAAAGAGAGTCCTTAACTTCTCCAGACCACAGCTGCCCTATGTGGTTTCAGTAACAGAGTTCAGGTTCCGGACATTAGGCTGGACTTTGCCCTGTGAACTCCCAGTGCAGTCCCTGTTTCGGCTCTGGTTCTAGAGTGACAAGCCACCTAGCTTCAGGTTCCCTGTAGGTTCCTGCACTGGTACCTTGTGATACTACCCTCCCTCATCAGGAGGGGAACAGCCTTGGAAACTCCGTCATTCCTGCTTGCTGGTGGGATGTCCCAGTATATGTGCTAGGAAGTCCTACCGAAGGGCTTCCTTCACCATTAGCAACCAGGTAAAAAGCTTGGCTTCTCCAGAAAGGCTGGTATGTGTTCTTCCTCTTGAATAATGAGGACAAGGTAACCTGATTTCCGTTTTCTCTTTGACCACTGGGAGGCTCCACTAAATGTGGAGCCCATCTCTGGTAGCTGTGTGAGGACCTTATGACCTGCTTATGTGAAATCTGTCCTTCGTTTCTGGATTAGATGTTTTCTTCAGATGTGTTTTTTCCTCCACTCCTGATTTTAGTGTTTATATTTTACTACCTTCTTTTCTTTGTGTTTCCTTGCCCTTTGTGGAACCAGGCTGGGGGTATGTAAAAACACTCACCATGTAAACACACAGGAAGCTGTCTTCTCAGCTGCTTTGTTGGCATGTTGCATTTTTTGCTTCCTCAGCTTCGTGAAGCTGTTTGTCTGCGTGGTTGCAATCCACTGGTCAGTTAGGAGATGCCTGGGGTTGGGTAGGGTGGCTGCTTTTTGCTTGTTTTTCTTTTCTTATCAGCTGCTTTGAATTTTTAAAATAATTTCTCTCCAAATCCATTAGTCACTGAAAGCACAGATGGTATCGTGGTGGATAGATGTGTGTGTTTATTTTTGTCTTCTTCTTCCTTTTCTTCTAATTTATTTCTTTAGCATTGCACAAGTATAACCTGTAGAATCCAAAAATGATAACAAGTGCAAAGGGAAAAAAAATTACCTATAATTCCACCAGGGATACCACTTTCCAGCATTTTGTGATTCACCCTTCTGGATTTTTTTCTATGTTTATATTTTTCCCACAAACAAATAGAATCTAACTATGCATACTCTTTTATAACCTTCATTTTCATTTAATGAAAGATACTTGAAATTTATATCAAAGATAGATGCACCTAATTTTTTTTTTTAAGCACAGAAGGACTTATTGTGAAAAGCAGTAACTGCCTCAGTCTTCCCCAGCCCCAGGCCTGGGTAAAAGAGGCAATTTTAATCATTTAGACTTCTTGTTATACAGTGGTTTCCTCCACTTAAGTAAAATGCTTATCCCACGATTTCTTGGCTTATCTGACTTACTGACTTGCTGCTGAGAAAAATAAAGCTTTCCATCAGTTCCATCACCCTTCCCCACTTCCTCCAAACATTTTCTGCCACTGTATTTGGTTACCTTTGCAATTTAAAATAAGATACTTAAGGACTTCCCTGGTGGTCCAGTGGTTGAGACTCCCATCTTCCACTGCAGGGGGCGCAGGTTCGATCCCTGGTCAGGGAACTAAGATCCCACATGCGGCGGGCGGTGGGGGGGGGTGTGTGTGGAAAAATAAAATAAAATAATATACTTAAGCCTCAGTGTCTTGTTCGACTAACCACGGACAGTCTCTGTGGCCCTCATTGCTCTCAGAGGAAGATATGGAGGAGACTCGACTTTTTCCTTGACTCCCCTGGCCCCCAGCATCACAATGCCTGTCTGTTGTACATTCAGTGTAACATTTACATTCTGTTTAATAACCATAAATCTTCCATGAGTGACTGCGAGGCAGTATAGTTGAAGACCAGCGCCCCATGTTTGCATTCCTCTGTAAATCAGCCCACAGGAGTGGGCTGTACTTACAAGTCCTTCTCTTTGGGTCTAACGCCACTCAAAGGAGAATGTTAAATATACTTTCCTTTCTTATATTCCGTCAGGTGCTCAAAATCCATCACTTTATATTTTAGCTCGCTTCATATTTTGACCATGCTTTTTTACGTAACTCTGTTTGCTTGTTGGTCTGGAGTTTCTAATACAATAGCATTTTACCAGCTGTGTAGTATTCCAGCAAAGGAAGTATTTGGGTTTATTTTCACCCTGTCCCCTGTGGTTGGACATTTAGGTTGTTTCAATTTTTCATTAACATGAATGGTGCTATAATTGATGTTCTTTTACGTTCATCATTGTGCCTTTGTCTCGTACATAATGTTTGAGGGTTCAGGAATGCTGCTCCCCTTAAATCCGATCACCTTGTCCCCAGCCCCATGCCACCCACTGCTTTGCTGATCTACCTTCAATCAGATCGGCGCATTCTAGAGGTTGGTATGGGAGGGGGGGCCCCCAGGTAATGTCCATCGATCGTCCTCTCTCCAGGCTCTGAAAAGCGGTCACTGCTCAGATTTGAAGTGGATCACATCTCCAACTATACAGCCCTCCTGCTGAGCAGGGACGGCAGGACTCTATACGTGGGTGCTCGAGAGGCCCTCTTTGCGCTCAACAGCAGCGTCAGCTTCCTGCCAGGCGGGGGGTACCAGGAGGTGAGATGATGCCCGGGGATGGCTAGCCTGGGTGGAGGGTGCCAGTGGGGAAGATGGAACTTCTGGGTCCGAGGATGATGCAAACAGGAGAGGGGAAAGGAAAAGAGGGGCATATCCTTTGTTCCCACTTGCACACTTACCTTCCCCTTTGTAATTCCCCAGCTGCTGTGGAGCGCAGATGCAGAGAGGAAACAGCAGTGCAGCTTCAAGGGCAAGGACCCACAGGTGAGCTAGCACCTGGAGGTGACCTGGGCTGAAGGAGGGACGGAGGGTGGTAGATCTGGGCCCGGGATGGAGGCAGGAGGTGGGAGCGGATGCAGCGAGCTGTGGTAGAAAGGGCATAGGCTTCTGAGATGGCCAGATCTGGGTTTGGATCTCAGCTCTACACTTACTATGTTTGTGACATTGGACAAGTAAGTAGATTTGCCTCTCTGAGCCTTGGTAAAATGGGGATAATGATGCCTGTCTCACTGGACTTACCGTGAGGATTCAATGAGCTAATAGGTATAAGGCACCTGGCACATAATAAGTGCCAAATAAATATCAGCTTCCAGCATGAGCAGTGATTGGGTGGGGGTGGAAGTCTGTCCTTCTGAGGGTGGTGCCTAATGTAGCAGGTCTGACATAATCCTGGCTTGGTTTTGGCCAGACCACTGGGTGGGAGCCAGTCCAGCCTGGGTTCTCTGGGAGGACTCCCCACCATTCCCAGAGGCCTTCCTGGTCCTGAGTGCAGCAGATGGCAGTTAAGGTGAAGGCAGAAGAGCACCGGACTTGGGGTCAAGACACAGGTTCAAGTCCAGACCACCCCCGATTTCTTTTATTCAGCAGAAATGTATTAAGCACTTGCTCTGTGCCCAGGTGCTTTTAGACACTGGTTATTATATCATTGTGAAAAAGAAGGTCAGGTTTAAAAGGTGGTCAGGTTACACTTCATTTAAAAAGTGACATTTGAGCCGAGATTACTTGGCTTAGATGAGGTGAGGGAGTTGACATGGGGGAGGAACAGGACTGTAGATTTCACTCTGAGTGAGGTATGTGGGGAACCACTGGCTGGCTGAGCAGGGCAGTGACATGGTCTGGCGTGCGTTTGCAAAAGGTCACTCTGGCCGCGGTGGTGGAGAGCGGCCTCGTTGGGGCGAGGACAGAGGGAGAGAGACCAGTGAGGGGCAAGAGGCGATGGTGCCCGGACCAGGGTTGGACCAATAAAGGGAGTGAGGAATGGTCGGATCCCGGAAGTATTTTGAAGATGGGGCCACCAGGATTTCTTGATGGAAGAACCGGGGTGGCGGGTATCAGAGAGTCAAAGCTGGCCATGAGGCTCGGGGCCTGAGGAGCTGAGAAGGCGGAGTAGCCGTCAGTGCAAGGGGGCAGGTCCCGGAGGAGAGAGTTTTGTGGGGAACAATCAGAAGCTCAGTAGACACACTGTTAGAGCTGTTAGACACGCTCGCGGAGGCAATCCGCAAGTCTGGAGCCCAGGATTCAGGGCTGCGTGTTTCCTCCTGCTCTGGGCGTAGCTGCCTCACCAGGTGGGGCCGAGACAGCTCAAAAGGGAGGGATTCTGTGCCTTCACCCCAAACTGAAGAGAAGTTTTCCAATCACGGAACTACGTGAGGCCCAAGGTCCCCTCCTGCGCACACGCTCCGTGGTCCTCCATCTGCTTTGCCCCACGAGGCTCCTGGAGTCTCGTTTACTCCAGGATTTGAGTACTGGGGAGCAGAGGCCTCACCCCCAGGGCTGGCCTTGCGTCCCGTGGGGAGGGCTCGGCGGTGCCCCCTGGTGGCTTGCTTGGGCCTGACATCCTCCTCCCTCCTCCAGCGGGACTGTCAAAACTACATCAAGATCCTCCTGCCACTCAACAGCAGCCACCTGTTCACCTGTGGCACCGCGGCCTTCAGCCCCGTGTGCACCTACGTTGTGAGTGCCCCTCCTCACCCCGGGCTTGCCTGCGGCTGGCCTGGGAACTGCCTGTCTTTGTGCCCCAGGGAGCTGGTCCCTAGCACTGACCCCTACTAAAGGGCAGGGCCCAGGGGGAGGCTTCTTGACAGCAGTGGGCCCCGAAAGCCCTGAGGCCCAGCCCCAGCCCTGATGGCCAGGTTGCCCTGCAGGGGGCGGCAGGGGGTGGGATTCCCCAGGCACAAAAATGCTGGCTGACCCACAGTCACGCCCTCTTGCTTCCTCCAGCTCTTTCCCCTGCTCTCACTCAGTTCCCGCCAGGCCTCCTTGTCCACCCTCCTCAACACACGCATACCATTACGTTTCTGCCTTACGCACACCTTCATAAAGGGTGGCATTTTGAGGCTTTGGAGCAACCAGCTTTAGAGTCAGACATACCTGAGTTTGAATCATGTCGCTGCCCTTTCCTGGCTCACATTGCCTTTTTAAGCCTCCTCTCCTCTCTGTTACGTGGGGCAACAGTGCCCACCGTGTCAGGTCCTGGTGAGATGGTGCTGGGACTGTGCCCCGGGTGCCGGGATGAGAAGGACGGCCCATCAGACCCCTCCCTTCCCTCCAGCACACCTCCCTGTTCTCCCGCCAAGCCCGCTCACTCCCTGGCGTTCCCCTGAGCTCTCCCATCTACTCCCCTGCAGAACATGGAGAACTTTACTCTGGCACAGGACGTGGTGGGGAACATCATCCTGGAAGATGGCAAGGGCCGTTGTCCCTTTGATCCCAATTTCAAGTCCACGGCCCTGGTGGTGGGTGAGTGTTGGGGGTCAGGGGGGCAGGATGGGCTCATTCAGGCTCCATGTGAGGGCGGGCAGGGGAGCAGGGTGGGCCCCAGGTCTGAGCTGGTGGGTCCATGCCACACCGATTCCCAGCGGGTGCAGCGACCCTGGGCTGCCCTCGGGTTGGCTTTTCTTAGTTCCTACTCCCTCCTCTGTCCTTCTCAAACAAGAAGGGCAGCACTCGTGTCACTCCGGGCCTTGAGCGGGAAGGGGCTGTGCTGAGGGCTCATTCCCATGGGCATGTCCTCTTGGCAGATGGCGAGCTGTACACTGGAACAGTCAGCAGCTTCCAGGGGAATGACCCAGCCATCTCACGGAGCCAAAGCCTCCGCCCCACCAAGACTGAGAGCTCCCTCAACTGGCTACAAGGTGAAGTCCTCTCGCCCCACCCAGTGGGCTGTCACGGGGCCTCAGGGCGGGGGCGGGGGGCCCTGTCCACCCAGCAGGGCCTGAGAACAGAGTCTCGCCTGTCTGGGATCCCTGGGCTGACTCTGTGCTCCCCACTGGCCCCCACAGACCCAGCGTTTGTGGCCTCAGCCTACATTCCCGAGAGCCTGGGCAGCCTGCAAGGGGACGATGACAAGATCTACTTCTTCTTCAGCGAGACTGGTCAGGAGTTTGAGTTCTTTGAGAACACCATCGTGTCCCGCATTGCCCGTGTCTGCAAGGTGAGCGGGCCAGGCCATCCCAGAGACCCCAAAGGCTCCTCGGGTATAGAACCAGAAGGCCCCGCACCTGTGGCCTTCTCCTGTCCTCCAGGGGGAACGGCTTGGCTACTGGCTTTTCTCTCTCTCCTTTTCAGTTAAAATGTCTCTGTTTTTCCTTATTTATTTTAAAAAACATGAAAATGTAGAAAAGTACACACGAAAATCACCTACAAGATAAGAGGCACCGTGGTATAGTGATTAAGAGCATAGACTCTAGAGCCAGGCTGCCTGGGTTCAAACCCTGCAGGTCGTGTGATCTTGGGCAGTTTCCTTACTGAGAAATCAGTTCGTTTCCTTCTCTGTTCAGTGGAAATCATAACAAAACTCCCTCAGGGTTGTTAACGATCTGTGTAGGGCTTTTAGAGATGTGGTGAGCAACCACTTGTTGTCGACTATTGGTGTTATAATCCCACCATCCTACCACAAGAAGTTAAGAGTGTTCCTTGCTAATTTTTTTTTTTTGGCACGTGTGTAAATACACACATATTTATATTATTTAAAACCATGTACAAACAAGAGTTATACTGTAATGTGATTCTTTAGCTCCCCTTTTTGCTCAGTGGTGAATCGTGACATCTTTCCACGTTTGTAGATAGACTCCCCTTCGTCCTTTTCCCTGGTGTCCCACAGTAAGGAAAGCGCTGTCATTTACTTAGCTAGCCTCCCGGTGAGGGGACCTGACGGCTGCCACCTCAAGTCTTCTTGATGTGAAATGGACTCAGGCCTGGCTTTGGGTCTGTCTGGCTCTTCCTGGCGTCTGTCTCAGCCACCGCTGGGGAGGGGGCAGCGAGGAGCACCAAGTGTCCCACCCCTGCTCGTGCCTAAGCCCTGGCCCTCTCTCCCTCTCCCAGGGTGATGAGGGGGGCGAGCGGGTCCTGCAGCAGCGCTGGACGTCCTTCCTGAAGGCCCAGCTGCTGTGCTTGCGGCCTGACGATGGCTTCCCGTTCAACGTACTGCAAGACGTCTTCACGCTGAGCCCCAGCCCCCAGGAATGGCGTGACACCCTCTTCTACGGGGTCTTCACATCCCAGTGGTAGGGCCCCCAGGACCTAGCTGGGAACGGGGTTGGGGGGATGAGTTGGGGCCGGGATTGGGCCCCGCTGGCCTCATCGTGAGCCCCAGGGCTGCTGGGCTAATCTGGCCACTTCCTTGGTAGGCACAGGGGGACCACAGAAGGCTCTGCCATCTGTGTCTTCACCATGCGGGACGTGCAGAGGGCCTTCAACGGCCTCTACAAGGAGGTGAACCGCGAGACGCAGCAGTGGTACACCGTGACCCACCCGGTGCCTTCGCCCCGGCCCGGCGCGGTGAGTGCTGCCCCTGTGCTGGGAGGATGGGTCCCCAACTGTGCTGGGATCACTTGCTTTCTCCGAGTTTGTTTTCTCACCTTGAAAGTGGGGACGAAGCCCAGGCCTGCTTGTCTTTCTGAGTTAGATGTGACCATGAATGTCGGGGTGGCTTCAAACCTGCTTTAGGCCGGGCAGGGGTGTCCCCCATCAGGACACTGACTGCACGTGCCTCTCCCCAACTCTGCCATGAGCTCCTTATTTATTTATTGAGTGACAGGCCATGGGAAAATAGTCCTTTCTTCTTTCCTTCCAGCCTCATGGGCTCCCCACAAAGCAGACCTTGAGACAAGGATGTGAGTGCCAGCAGTTTTTAGGGGAGGTGATCCCAGGAAGAAGCAGGAGGGGACAGGATTGTGGGAGGAGGGGGCGGAGCTAAGAAAGTGTGTGTCACTGAGCTGCTGCTGCTGTGGGCACCTGGAGCTCGTTCCCTGGGGCCCTGGGAGGCTGCGTGGAGCACATCTCAGCATTGTCCCACTGGGGTGTTTGTCACCAACTCCTGTGCAGTTGAGGGTCACTCCAGGGTACTAATTCCTGGGGCTTTTACAGAGAATGACCTGGGGCAGAGAGAATCAGGAAGCGCCCCTGGCAATATGGGAAACTAACTGCAGGCACCCTCATGCCCCTATACTAGGAAGCCTCGGTCAGCCAGGGTGTCCTGAGAGAGCACTGCCAAAAGGATGCTACAGGAGCAGGAAGTGTGGCCATGCTTCTTGAGGCTTGCGGAAGGGGGTGGGGGAAGGGTGGGCAGGAAGGAGAGATGGTTGGTGGGCAGAGAGGGGGAGACCCTGGCAGCTGGGGCCCTTGGGTGCCCCACACCCTGGGCTTTGCCCTTAGGCCTGTAGATCAGTGCGCTGGCTTCGCAGAACTGGAGTGCTGTGCTGCGGCTTCCAAGGGCGGGGCGGGTACCCCTGCTGTTCACTGGGGAGATGGAGCCGGCAGTCCCAGTGGGATTTGCAGGACCCACATCCTGCTTGCTGCCCTGAGTGCCACTCGCCTCAAGCCACCGCCTTCTCCTTCAGTGCATCACCAACAGCGCCCGGGAAAGGAAGATCAGCTCGTCCCTGCAGCTCCCCGACCGTGTGCTGAACTTCCTCAAGGACCACTTCCTGATGGATGGGCAGGTCCGCAGCCGCCTGTTACTCCTGCAGCCCCAGGCCCGCTACCAGCGTGTGGCTGTCCACCGCGTCCCTGGCCTGCAGCGCACCTACGACGTCCTCTTCCTAGGCACTAGTGAGTGCCCACAGCAGGGCAGGCTCAGAGTCGACGGGGCTAGCTTTTGGGACATGGGCCTCAGGCTCTGCGCAGGGCCTGAGTGCTGTCCATGTTGCAGGTGACGGCTGGCTGCACAAGGCGGTGAGCGTGGGCCCCGGGGTGCATATCATCGAGGAGCTCCAGATCTTCTCATCAGGACAGCCCGTGCAGAACCTGCTCCTGGATGCCGACAGGGTGAGCAGAGGAGGAGTCCGGGCAGCGTGCTTGGGGTGCCCGACCCCTGCCCCAGCCAGATGGAGAGATACAGGCTTCTGGCATAAGCTCTCAGAATGTGGGGGCCCGGGAGCATGAGAGGAGGCCCCCTGTGGGTGGCTTTTGTGTGCACTCGAGCCGGGTGCAGCTCTGGGTGGTGGCCCTGGCTGCCTGTGCCTGCTTCTCATCCCCCGTGCCTGTGCAGGGACTGCTGTATGGTGCCTCACACTCGGGTGTGGTCCAGGTGCCCGTGGCCAACTGCAGCCTGTACCAGAGCTGCGGGGACTGCCTCCTGGCCCGGGACCCCTACTGCGCTTGGAGCGGCTCCAGCTGCAAGCACGTCAGCCTTTACCGGCCTGCGATGGCCTCCAGGTGAGCGCTCCTGAAGGCCCCACCCACTTGTCCAACGCTATGCACTAGGCCTCCGAGGGCCTTCCCTAGGCCCTCTGTGGAATCACCACACAGCCTCATTTGTGTCCACTGTCTGGGAATAATTATTAATCAGCTCCCCTTCTGACTCTCATCAAGTGTTGTAGTTCAAATGATAAATTATGTTTGCCTTACCAATCTGTAAAGCAGAGACAAGATTTGGTAAAGTATGAAATATCAGAGCTATGAAAAGCTTTGCAGGAGAATGTCGATTGGCACGTGAATGTAGTTAAGGAACAAAAAAATAAGGGCTACATAACACCCCGTTAACAAACCCATTAAGGGAATTCCCTGGCGGTCCAGTAGTTAGGACTCTGCGCTTCCACTGCAGTGGTCACAGGTTCGATCCCTGATTGGGGAACTCAGGTCCTGCAAGTGGTGCGGCCAAAAACCAACCAACCCATTAAAAACTGTTTTCAAAATCACTTATTTATATTTAAAATTTTCATATAGAAAAAAAGATAAATAAAATTAAAACTACCCTAATCCTACCACCTAGAGAGACTTACAGTGAGATTTTAATATATATCCCCCCAGATTTTTCCACATATGTGTAAAATAAACAAAAATACACATATTTTAAGTAAATATGGGATCTGTCCTATTTGTAGTGTACATACTTCACTCAAGGGGATACCTGGTTCCAGTTTTATATTTCAAAACACCATGTATGCGTATACATATGTACACCTGAAGGCACACTCAAAAAAATGCTGCCTGCCATTCTCGCTGGATGGTTGATTGTGACTTTTGTAATGTTTTTAGCCTTTGTGCTTGTTTTTTTCCGGTTTTCTAAAAACAAATCAATGGATGTACATTGCTTTAAAAGAGACAGGTATATACATACAGATAGATACAGCTGTCCTTCCAGACTTTTTCTAAGAGCTCAACTCACTGCTTTTGTAATTCAGGGAAGTATTACAGTACCTCTTTTTTTTTTTTTAAATATTTATTTACTTGGCTGCACCGGGTCTCAGTTGCAGTACACAGGATCTTTCATTGCAGCACAGGGGCTTTTCTCTAGTTGTGGCACGCAGGCTCTAGAGCGCGTGGGCTTAGTTGCCGTGCGGCTGTGGAATCTTAGTTCCCTGACAAGGATCGAACTCACATCCCCTGTGTTGGAAGGTGGATTCTTTACCACTGGCCCACCAGGGAAGTCCCTACAGTAACTTTTAACTGAAGTAAATACTGTGTAGACAGAGGAGATGCCGGCACAAACCCTGCGGGGTGGGGAATCCACCCAGGGAAGCCGCCTGCCTTTCACTCCCGCTTTGGGCCTGGTGGTCCCTGAGCCCTTCCCCAGGCCCACATCTGCAGGGCTGCGTGAGGGCGTGTGCTGCACGGAGGGTGGGCAGATGCGGTCTTGTGGGGGTTCCTGGCCCATCCCAGACTCTTCTTTGGTCCTCAGGCCATGGATCCAGGACATCGAGGGAGCCAATGCCAGGGAACTCTGCAACACTTCCTCGTCCAAGGCCCGGACTTTTGTACCAAGAGGTAAGGTGCCCCGTCAGGGTGGAGGAGATTTGGGGGGTCTAGTGTGCCTAGAAGGCTCCTGCAGCCACTGCTGTGTGTTAATGCCTTTCCTCACTTCCTCACCCCTTTGGCCCTGCAAGCAGGACCCTGGCAAGTGAGACCCCCAGTCCCTGAAGTCCCCAGAGTTGCTGTTACAGCAGGAGGACCATAGCGCAGAGGGAGGTGGGTGAGCCTGGGGCTACCGTGGACATCAGCCCCCCTTTACCCGGGACTGTGCCTCCTTTGCCTGCAGGTGAGAAGCATTGTGAGCCAGTCCAGTTCCAGCCCCACACAGTGAACACCTTGGCCTGCCCCCTCCTCTCGAACTTGGCAACCCGACTCTGGCTGCACAACGGGGTCCCCATTAATGCCTCGGCCTCCTGCCGCGTGCTGTCCACCGGGGACCTGCTGCTGGTGGGCAGGCAGCAGGAGCTGGGGGAGTTCCAGTGCTGGTCGCTGGAGGAGGGCTTCCGGCAGCTGGAGGCCAGCTACTGCCCAAAGGTGGTGGAGGACGCAGTGGCAGACCGAGCAGACCAGAGTGGCAGCGTGCCCGTCATCATCAACACGTCTCGGGTGAGCGCGCCGGCCGGCGGCAGGGCCACCTGGGGTGCAGACAAGTCCTACTGGACCGAGTTCCTAGTGATGTGCGCGCTGTTCGTGTTTGCCATGGTGCTCTTCATTTTATTCTTCCTCTACCGGCACCGGGGCGGCATGAAAGTCTTCCTGAAGCAGGGGGAGTGTGCCAGCGTACACCCCAAGACGCGCCCAGTGGTACTGCCACCTGAGACCCGGCCGCTCAATGGCGTGGGCCCCCCTAATACCCCACTCGACCACCGAGGCTACCAGGCTCTGTCGGACAGCTCCCCAGGGCCCCGGGTCTTCACAGAGTCAGAGAAGAGGCCGCTCAGTATCCAGGACAGCTTCGTGGAGGTGTCCCCGGTGTGTCCCCGGCCCCGGGTCCGCCTGGGCTCTGAAATCCGGGACTCTGTGGTATGAGAGCAAACTTCTAGAGGCCGCCTCCCTCTAGGGGCCAGGAGTGCTCAGAGAGGGTCGGCTGGACCCCTGCTCCTTGTGGAACACAGCCGCGGTGCCCAGCCCTCGGGAGCGATGGAGCCAGCTTGCCTGGTGTCAAGCGACAAGGCCCCTCCACCCCAGATGGCCACAGCCCCACAGGGCCTGGCTGAAGATCGGGGCCTGCCCGGGTGGGCAGAACAGTGCTCCTTATGAAACTGAGCCCTTTGTTTCAAAACAGTTGAAAATGTGAAACAAGAGAAAACAGAGAACACAGAATGCCATGCACACGGCCGGCCCAGTCTCCGGACTGGGAGGGCTCATCCAAAGTGGTTGTTGGAGACAGAGTTGGACATCCCACACCAACTGGCCTCTTCCACCTTCCGCCTTATCCTACTGCCACAGGCTGCCCCTTCTCACGGCAGAGCCAGGGGCCAGCTCGGGCTCCAGTGGGTCCAGCCTCGCCAGCTGGCCAAGTTGTTGCAGCCATCATCCTGTCACCTCAGGGACCGGAAGGCCACGCTGGCACCACAGCCCTCACGACGCCCTGGGCTCAGACCCACCTCCTGGACCTTTCCGGCCTGTATCAGGCTGCGGCCACATGAGAGAGACAGAGGGCAGCGTGAGCCCAGGAGAGAGTGTATGACAATGTACACCTTCCCTCAGAATTCCAGAAGACTGTTGCCTGCCTTCCTCCACCCCAGCCTGCAAACCTGTGTCCCTTTTCCCCACACCAGCCCTGGCCTCCTCTTCAAAACCAGTCCCCAGTTCACCCCTACACCTTGCAGCCTCCACTCTAAGGGATGTTGATACTGCCCAGCACAGGGGCCCTGAGTTTATGTGGGTTTTGTACTCTTTTTAATAAAATGCACTTTACTTTTTAATAAAATCTAAAGAATTGAAATTGAACCATGCCCCTTCCAAAAAGCAAAGGACTGTTGCTTTTTGAGGCTGGTATAGTTCTTTGAGTTCTGGGAGGTTCTAGGCCTCCTCTTTCAGGTGCTAGTGGGCCAGACCCAGCCCAGCCTGGCCAACCACACCTCCCAGCAGAGCCAGGTTCTTAAAGTGGGGAGTTCAACCAACACACTGATGGGCGGGGGAGGGGATTTGTTCACTTTACTTCAGTCCCTTTACTTTGCATCCCCAGTTCAGTTCAGGGATGGGGCACAGGGGACAAGGTCTTGAGTTTTCTTGTTTTAACTTGAAAAGAATTTTTATCTTTAAAATGATCATACAGTAAAACTAACTTTTTTCTTTTAGTACACAGTTCTGCAAGTTTTAACACATGTATAAATTCATGTAACCACCACCACAAATCAGGATACAGAAGAGTTCCACCCCTCATGTTACCCTTCATACTCACACCCTCACGAGAGGTGGGAAGCGTGGGGTACAAGCCTGACTTCCTGCTGTCCGCTTTAGATCCTTATTCCCAGTGTGACCAAAGGCTCCTAGAAGTCCACTCCTTCCTCATGCCAGCATTTCTAGTGTCACACAAAGGCCCAAAACTTCTAAACCTTTATTATTGACTAGTAGAAACACAAACAGCGATGACAATGACAGTGAGAAGGGAAGAAGCCTTGACATGGAGGACCCTCCCCTGTCCCAAGCAAGACTGCGCAGTGCCACCTCCAGGCTGGGCCAGCTTGGCCGGCCCTGGCAACACAGGGGTAACCTTGGCCGTGGCTCAGCAGTGGAGTTTCTTCAACAGGGTGCTGGGACACACGCTGTGGCTCCTGTCACAGGACAATCTTAAAGGAGCTGAACAAAAGAAGAATGCATTGGGTTTTCTGCTGGCAGAGGAAGGTAGGGACTAAACCCAAACTTCCCTACCTCTCCCCCAAGACCCTTTGTAATGGGCTGTGTCCCATATCTGTGAGTCCCCTCTAGAAGAAGAGCTACTCTACTACATTCAGAGGAAGCGGGAGGCTTTCTCTAACCCCAGGTACCGCCTCCCATAATAACGTCGCAGACTCAGTGCAACAAATGAGCACCACAGTCATACCTGGCAAAGTCTGGTGAGCGGGAGATGACATGCTGGAATTCAGAAAGATTGATGGTCCCATCCCTATCAATGTCAGATTCTTCTAGGATCTGGGAAAGGGAAAGCTTCAGGCCAAAGCCCAACCCTTCCCTCCTGCTCCCCGGCCCGGCCCGGCCGAGCCCGGCCCCGTTGCTCACATTGTCGATGAGCTGCTTCATCTCTGAGGCACTGAGCCGTGTGTCCTCCCCCTCTCCCGTGAGGCAGTTCACGAGCTGGCTCAGGTCTTCTCTGTTCAAGGTTCCGTCATCATCAAAATCTAGAAAGCAGACGCAGGAAGCCAGAAAGGACGTGGTCAGGATGAACTCCAAGCTCCTGACCCCCAGCTCCCAAGCAGTACCCCCACAAAGACCATGTTGGAAGGGGTGGTGTTCCACCCGGCCCCTGGTTCTTACCGAAGATGCGGAAGGCATAGTGGGACTTGATGTCTGGGGTGGCTGTGTCACTGAATACACTGAGGAGGTCCAAGAAGTCCTCAAAGCTCAGGCTGTCTCTGGTTGGGGAAGTGGAGAAGACCCTGCAGATTCGCTCCTTGAAGGGGTTGGCCTAGGCAAGAAAGCCCTCTATGAATGCCACAGGATGCAGCCCAAGTCACACACTCAAACCCCACTGGGAAACTGGAGGGAACAGTTCAGGCTCTCGAGGGGAGAACGATCAGTGCTTTGGGGCCAGCACGGAGCTCAGGAGGACCAATGACCCAGCTGGGGATGGCTTCCCAGGAGTCAGAGCTTAACCCAAAGGCAGGCCTGGGAGCATAAAAGGAAGAGGAAGGCATCCTAAGCAAAGAGGACAAGATGGGCTGGTTATTTTAAAACACAAAACATTTCACTGAGCACTTACTGTGTTACAGGCACTAGGCCAGGCACTTTGCATAGCAATTGTCACAGCAGCCCTATGGAGAGCAATCAGCCTCTGGAACAGGGTTTCTCAAGCTTTAATAAGGTAATTCAACTCCTCTTAAAGGATAAAACTTGTTTGAACCTCCAAGAATATGTCTGAGAATCCCAGGTTGCACAACACCCTTCTATATAATTCCCTTGGATGATTTTGGTAAAGCCATAGCCCCCAGGAAATCAGGGCTAAAAAGGGAAAAGACTAGAATGGGGACCAGTGACCACATGATCTCAAAAGGAGTAGCAGAGGGAGGCTGGGGGGCTGGCACCTTGAGCTCTGGAAGGCTGAGGATCTGCTCCAAGGACACTCGTGCCTGCAGTGACTCCTCCACACTCCGGTGCTCCTGGGGAAGAAGCTCACAAAACCGCCTGTGGGCTCTGGCAGAAGGAGGGGAATCTGTTGTTGTCCTTTCCTGAGTGTATTACATCCCCACTCCTTGCCTTGCTACCCATTATAAACCAGGTGAGGAGCTAAGCCCCACACACAGTATGTCTGAGTCTCAGGCATAAGCCAAGAGGAGATGTATCACAAGACAATATAGGCTGGGAGTCCATTCTTGCAATGGGTATTGACTGTGGGCCCACTGTGTCCCAGGCACTGGGCCCTGGTTCTAGACCTCCTGAGGGATAGAGAGGTCTGGGAAGGAGCCAGAAGTTGGCCCTCAAGAACAAATGAAAAGAGCTGAACTGAAATCTCATTCTCATTTCATTTCAGGAATCTCCTGCTGCTCCTCAAAGCAGCTACCCTGAACTGTCTCCTCCTTAGGCACCATCTCATTCCCACTGGGATTACTTTTGCCCAGAGAAGCTCAGTAATCTTCTCACTCAAGTGCCCTGGCCACATAAAGCTTGCCCACGGCTAGGAAGGGGGTTCCAGTCCCAGTTCAAATTCTCCTACTCAGTCTTAGGCAAATTATCAAACTGTTTCATTGTCCCCATACCTCCGTCGTGAGGGTTAAATTAGGTAATGTGGACAACCTCGTAGCACAGCCTGGCACATGGCAAGTGCTCAATAAGCGTTAACGGTTACTGTATTATTCAGGTAAAGGAGGAGCCAGGCTCCCCAAGTAGGTAAAGCAGCCCAGAACTACAGCAGCCCCTGCCGGACTGGAGCAGGAACTTCGGTTATGCAGAAGCCAGTGGAGCGAGGTCAAAGAACGCCCAACTTTGGCTGGAAGCTGCGAGGTGACTCCACGGTGCACAGCTGCGGCCGCCGGCGCCAGCGGGGAGGTCGTGCCGGGAAGAGGGCACAGCCTAGCGCCCAGGGCCCTGCACTCCAGTTCCGGGGCTCAGCTGCTGACCTCGGGCAGGCCCCTGCCGCTCCCTCTGGCGGGGCCTCAGTTTGCCCACCTGTAAGACAGAGCCTCCCCCCGCCCCCCACCCCCGAAGTCGTCCCTAGAAGATCCCGGAGGTGAGGTTCGAGACAGCACTTACAGGAGGATCTCCTGTTTGGTCAGGAACGTCAAGTCCTGGAAGGCAAAACAAGACAGGGGGTCAGCGTGCGGCCCGGGGCCAGAGGCCGCGTCCGCCGCCCTGCCGCCGCTCGGGGACACCCCCACCCGCCCGAGCGCAGGGCCGCGCGCAAACTCCCTGGGAACTGGCGTCTCACGCACCTGGTACTCGACCAGCAGCTCCTTGGACAGGCGACTGCCCGAGCCCCCCATTGCCGCGCCGCACGTACAGCTCCGCCAACTCTTCTCGGGACGCCGGCAACTTTCTCACTTCCGCCCTCGGTCTGCGTCACCGCCAAGTCCCCGCGGCAACCGCTCCTGGGGCCACCGCCCCCAGGCCCGCCCCCTCCTTTAAAGTTCCCAGGCGCTCCCCGCCCGGTTCAGCCAGCTGGATCCCGGCTCTAGGCAGTTACCGGCGAGCTGGAGGCGGGGCCCGCGGCGGGGCCGGACGCTCCAGGGCGGAGCCCAGGCCGCACGACCCCGCCTCCTGGATGGGCGGGACGGGCCGCGCCGCGTGCCTGCGTGCAGGTTGCGCAGGCGTTAAGGGTGCCACGACCTCGCTATGGCCCCCGCAGGATTTCGGGGGAAGGCGAGCGTCTTCGCCTCACCTGCATTGCGTGGCGGCGGGGGCGGGGCGGGTTTGTGTGGAGACCGGTAAGGGGCCTTAGGGAAGTGTTTAGAGCAAGGGTAACCGAGAAACCTCGTGACTCGCTGAGTGGGCCGAGGCGGTCGGCTGCCCCTCTGCCCAACGAGGGCTCTTCCACCCAGACGTTACCACCGAGCACCTGCCGTACGTGTTGCAACCCTCATACCACCTCTCCAGAAATAACCATAACCTTTCTGCCTACTGAGGCCGTTTACTGAGGGCCCACTGAAACGCTCTGCATAGCTTCAATTCTTACAACAGTTCTGCAAGGTAAGTTACCGTTTTACAAATTTGGAAATGCAGAGGCTCAGGGGAGTTCAGTGACTTGTCTAGACTCGGTCATTTACAAAGCCGTCTCTCCAGTCTAAGGCTCTTTTCAAGAATCCACCCTGCTGTACTCATTCCAGCCTACATGCTGTCCTCTGACCCCACCCTGCGTCCAGACTGCATGCTGGGCGAGGCAGCTGACCTGTTTGCTCTTGTCCCCTCTCAACTCCTAGGACAATGCTTGACACATGGTAGGCTTTCAATATTTATTGGATGTATGCATGAATGAATTAACCTACACTGTTCCAAAAAGTGAGAATCACAAGCTACTGTGTGGAGGAGGTGGAGGTGCGGTTAATTTTTTTTTCCCACATCTTTATTGGAGTATAATTGCTTTACATTGTTGTGTTAGTTGCTGCTGTATAACAAAGTGAATCAGCTATATGTATACACATATCCCCATATCCCCTCCCTCTTGCGTCTCCCTCCCACCCTCCCTATCCCACCCTTCTAGGTGGTCACAAAACACCGAGCTGATCTCCCTGTGGGATGCGGCTGCTTCCCACTAGCTATCTATTTTACATTTGGTAGTGCATATATGTCCATGCCACTCTCTCAGTTCGTCCCAGCTTACCCTTTCCCCTCCCCGTGTCCTCAAGTCCATTCTCTACGTCTATGTCTTTATTCCTGTCCTGCCCCTAGGTTCTTCAGAACCATTTTTTTTTAAGATTCTATATATATGTATCAGCATACGGTATTTGTTTTTCTCTTTCTGACTTATTTCACTCTGATAAAAGACTCTAAGTCCACCCACCTCACTACAAATAACTCAATTTCGTTTCTTTTTATGGCTGAGTAATATTCCATTGTGTATATGTGCCCATCTTTTTTTTTAATTTATTAATTTTTTTATTTTTGGCTGCATTGGCTCCTTTGTTGCTGTGCATGGGCTTTCTCTAGTGGTGGCGAGCGGGGGCTACTCTTCGTTGTGGTGCGCGGCCTTCTCGCTGTGGTGGCTTCTCTTGTTGCGGAGCACGGGCTCTAGGTGCATGGGCTTCAGTAGTTGTGCCATGTGGGCTCAGTAGCTGTGGCTTGTGGGCTCTAGAGTGCAGGCTCAGTAGTTGTGACGCACAGGCTTAGTTGCTCTGTGGCATGTGGGATCTTCCCAGACCAGGGCATGAACCCATGTCCCCTGCATTGGCAGGCAGACTCCTAACCATTGTGCCACCAGGGAAGCCCATGCCACTTCTTCTTTATCCATTCATCCATCAATGGACACTTAGGTTGCTTTCCATGTCGTGGCTATTGTAAATAGTGCTGCAGGGAACATTGTGGTACATGACTCCTTTTGAATTATGGTTCTCTCGGTATTTGCCCAGTAGTGGGATTGCTGGGTCATGTGGTAGTTCTATTTACTTTTTTAAGGAACCTCCATACTGTTCTCCATAGTGGCTGTATCAATTTACATTCCCACCAGCAGTGCAGGAGGGTTCCCTTTTATCCACACCCTCTCCAGCATTTATTGTTTGTTTGTTTGTTTAATTCAAACCTATATTTGCAGTTTCTGAAATGCTGATCCATAGACCACTCTCTTGTTACACATGTGCACCAACGGAAAAGCAAAGAGAACCCCGGTCATCCCATGAGAGGAACAGCTCCTCATCCAACAGCCTTCAGAAGGCTACACGTGCAGTCCCTGCGCCCATCCAGGTGGCGATGCAATAAATACACAGCTCGCCCTGCTCACCTCGGTCCAGCCAGGCCTGCCACTACCTGTTGTAGGCCTGCTCCTTTTTGGACTTCTCCAGGGCCTTGTCCATGGTCTTCTCGTTCTCCCCTCAACATTTGGGGCAGTACCACTTGCCCTTGGGTTTATGGTTCAGCCCCACGCAGGAGAAGTGGAACCACTCGATGGGGCACTCGTCATTGTCACAGCCGATCATCTCTCCATAGGAGACCTGATTGCACAGACAGTGCGTGGGCTCGTTCAGGTCAATGGGAAGGTCCACAGGGGATGCTTCCCTCTCGGCTTTGACCTTGGAGTGTTTCTTCTTCTTGGAGGCCTTTGCCTTTTTCTCTGTAGATTTTTTGATGATGGCCATTCTGACCCGTGTGAGGTGATACCTCATTGTAGTTTGATTTGCATCTCTCTAATGATTAGTGATATTGAGCATCCTTTCATATGTTTGTTGGCAATCTGTATATCTTCTTTGGAGAAATGTCTGTTTAGGTCTTCTGCCCATTTTTGCATTGGGTTGTTTGTTTTTTTGATACTGAGCTACATGAGCTGCTTGTATATTTTGGAGATTAATCCTTTGTCAGTTGCTTCACTTGCAAATATTTTCTCCCATTCTGAGGGTTGTCTTTTTGTCTTGTTTATGGTTTCCCTTGCTGTGCATAAGCTTTTAAGTTTCATTAGGTCTCGTATGTTTATTTTTGTTTTTACTTCCATTTCTCTAGGGGATGGGTCAAAAAGGGTCTTGCTATGATTTATGTCATAGAGTGTTCTGCCTGTATTTTCCCCTAAGAGTTTTATAGTGTCTGGCCTTATATTTAGGTCTTTAATCTACTTGAGGTTATTTTTGTGTATGGTGTTAGGAAGTGTTCTAATTTCATTCTTTTACATGTAGTTGTCCAGTTTTCCCAGGACCACTTATTGAAGAGACTGTCTTTTCTCCATAGTATATTCTTGCCTCCTTTATCAAAGATAAGGTGACCATATGTGCATGAGTTTATCTCTGGGCTTTTTATCCTGTTCCATTGATCTATATTTTTGTTTTTGTGCCAGTACCATACTGTCTTGATTACTGTAGCTTTGTAGTATAATCTGAAGTCAGGGACCCTGATTCCTCCAGCTCCATTTTTCTTTCTCAAGATTGCTTTGGCTTTTCAGGGTCTTTTGTGTTTCCATACAAATTGTGAAATTTTTTGTTCTAGTTCTGTGAAAAATGCCATTGGTAGTTTGAGGGATTGCATTGAATCTGTAGATTGCTTTGGGTAGTATAGCCATTTTCACAGTGTTGATTCGTCCAATCCAAGAACATGGTATATCTCTCCATCTGTTTGTTTGTATCATCTTTAATTTCTTTCATCAGTGTCTTATAGTTTTTTGTCTCCTTAGGTAGGTTTATTCCTAGGTATTTTATTCTTTTTGTTGCAGTGGTAAATGGGAGTGTTTACTTAATTTCTCTTTCTGATCTTTTGTTGTTAATGTATAGGAATGCAAGAGATTTCTGTGCATTAATTTTGTATCCTGCCACTTTACCAAATTCATTGATTAATTCTAGTAGTTTTCTGGTAGCATCTTTAGGATTCTCTGTGTAAAGTATCATGTCATCTGCAAACAGTGACAGTTTTACTCTTTCTTTTCCAATTTGGATTCCTTTTATTTCTTTTTCTTCTCTGATTGCTGTGGCTAAAACTTCCAAAACTATGTTGAATACTAGTAGTGAGAGTGGGCAACCTTGTCTTGTTCCTGATCTTAGTGAAAATGGTTTCAGTTTTTCACCATTGAGAACAATGTTGGCTGTGGGTTTGTCATATATGGCCTTTATTATGTTGAGGTAAGTTCCCTCTGTGCCTAATTTCTGGAGAATTTTTATCATAAATGGGTATTGAATTTTGTCAATAGCTTCTTCTGCATCTGTTGAGATTATCATATGATTTTTATCCTTCAGTTTATTAATATGGTGTATCACATTGATTGATTTGCGTATATTGAAGAATCCTTGCATTCCTGGGATAAACCCCACTTGATCATGGTGTATGATCCTTTTAATGTACTGCTGGATTCTGTTTGCTAGTATTTTGTTGAGGATTTTTGCATCTGTGTTCACCAGTGATATTGACCTGTAGTTTTCTTTTTTTGTGACATCTTTGTCTGGTTTTGGTATCAGGGTGATGGTGGCCTCGTAGAATGAGTTTGGGAGTGTTCCTCCCTTTGCTATACTTTGGAAGAGTTTTAGAAGGATAAGTGTTAGCTCTTCTCTAAATGTTTGATAGAATTCACCTGTGAATCCATCAGGTCCTGCACTTTTGTTTGTTTGAAAATTTTTAATCACAGTCTCAATTTCAGTGCTTGTGATTGGTCTGTTTATATTTTCTATTTCTTCCTGGTTCACTCTTGGAAGGTTGTGCTTTTCTAAGAATTTGTCCATTTCTTCCAGGTTGTCCATTTTATTGGCATATAGTTGCTTGTAGTAATCTTTCATGATCCTTTGTATTTCTGCAGTATCAGTTGTTACTTCTCCTTTTTCATTTCTAATTCTGTTGATTTGAGTCTTCTCCCTTTTTTTCTTGATGAGTGTGGCTAATGGTTATCAGTTTTGTTTATCTTCTCAAAGAACCAGCTTTTACTTTCATTGATGTTTGCTGTCATTTCCTTTATTTCTTTTTCCTTTATTTCTCATCTGATCTTTATGATTTCTTTCCTTTTGCTAACTTTGGGGTTTTTTTGTTCTTCTCTCTCTAATTGCTTTAGGTGTAAGGTTAGGTTGTTTATTTGAGATGTTTCTTGTTTCTTGAGGTAGGATTGTATTGCTGTAAACTTCCCTCTTAAAACTGCTTTTGCTGCATCCCATAGGTTTTGGGTTGTCATGTTTCCATTGTCATTTGTTTCTAGGTATTTTTTGATTTCCTCTGATTTCTTCAGTGATTTCTTGGTTATTTAGTATTGTTTAGTCTCCATGTGTTTGTATTTTTTACAGTTTTTTTCCTGTAATTGACATCTAGCCTCATAGCGTTGTGGTCAGAAAAGATGCTTGATAGATACGATTTCAGTTTTCTTAAATGTACCAAGACTTGATTTGTGACCCAAGATATGATCTATCCTAGAGAATGTTCCATGAGCACTTGAGAAGAAAGTGTATTCTGTTGTTTTTGGATGGAATGTCCTATAAATATCAATTAAGTCCATCTTGTTTAATGTATCATTTAAAGCTTGTGTTTCCTTATTTATTTTCATTTTGACTGATGTGTCCATTGGTGAAAGTGGGGTGTTAAAGTCCCCTACTATTTTTGTGTTACTGTCAATTTCCCCTTTTATGGCTGTTAGATTTGCCTTATGTATTGAGGTGCTCCTATGTTGGGTGCATAAATATTTACAATTGTTATATCTTCTTCTTGGATTGATCCCTTGATCATTATGTAGTGTCCTTTTTTGTCTCTTGTAATAGTCTTTATTTTAAAGTCTGTTTTGTCTAATATGAGAATTGCTACTCCAGCTTTCTTTTGATTTCCATTTGCATGGAATATCTTTTTCCATTCCCTCACTTTCAGTCTGTATGTGTCCCTGGGTCTGAAGTGGGTCTCTTGTAGACAGCATATGTACGGGTCTTGTTTTTGTATCCATTGAGCCAGTCTGTGTCTTTTGGTTGGAGCATTTAATCCATATACATTTAAGGTAATTATCAATATGTATGTTCCTATTACCATTTTCTCAATTGCTTTGGGTTTGTTATTGTAGGTCTTTTCCTTCTCTTGTGTTTCCTGCCTAGAGAAGTTCCTTTAGCATTTGTTTTAAAGCTGGTTTGGTGGTGCTGAATTCTCGTAGCTTTTGCTTGTCTGTAAAGGTTTTTTTTTGGGTTCGCGGGCCTGTCACTGTTGTGGCCTCTCCTGTTGCGGAGCACAGGCTCCGAACGTGCAGGCTCAGCGGCCATGGCTCACGGGTCCAGCCGCTCCGCAGCATGTGGGATCTTCCTGGACCGGGTCACGAACCCGTGTCCCCTGCATCAGCAGGTGGACTCTCAACAACTGCGCCACCAGGGAAGCCCAGTGTAAAGGTTTTAATTTTTCTTTCGAATCTGAATGAGATCCTTGCTGGGTAGAGTAATCTTGGTTGTAGGTTTTTCCCTTTCATCACTTTAAATATGTCCTGCCACTCCCTTCTGGCTTGCAGAGTTTCTGCTGAAAGATCAGCTGTTAACTTTATGGAGATTCCCTTCTGTTATTTGTTGCTTTTCCCTTGCTGCTTTTAATATTTTTTCTTTGTATTTAATTTTTGATAGTTTGATTAATATGTGTCTTGGCATGTTTCTCCTTGGATTTATCCTGTATGGGACTCTCTGCGCTTCCTGGACTTGATTGACTCTTTCCTTTCCCATACTGGGGACGTTTTCAACTATAATCTCTTCAAATATTTTCTCAGACCCTTTCTTTTTCTCTTCTTCTTCCTGGGACCCCTATAATTCTAACGTTGGTGAGTTTAATGCTGTCTCTGAGGTCTCTGAGGCTGTCCTCAATTCTTTTCATTCTTTTTTCTTTATTCTGCTCTGTGGTAGTTATTTCCACTATTTTATCTTCCAGGTCACTTATCCGTTCTTCTGCCTCAGTTATTCTGCTATTGATTCCTTCTAGAGAATTTTTTATTTCATTTTTTGTGTTGTTCATCATTGTTTGTTTGCTCTTTAGTTCTTCTAGGTCCTTGTTAAATGTTTCTTGTATTTTCTCCATTCTATTTCCAAGATTTTGGATCATCTTTACTGTCATGACTCTGAATTCTTTTTCAGGTAAATTGCCTATTTCCTCTTCATTTGTTTGGTCTGGTGGGTTTTTACCTTGCTCCTTCGTCTGCTGCATATTTCTCTGTCTTCTCATTTTGCTTAACTTACTGTGTTTGGGGTCTCCTTTTCGCAGGTTGCATGTTCGTAGTTCCTGTTGTTTTTGGTGTCTGCCCCCAGTGGGTAGGGTTGGTTCAGTGGGTTGTGTAGGCTTCCTGATGGAGGGGACTGGTGGATGAGGTTGGATCTTGTCCTTCTGGTGAGCAGGACCATGTCCAGTGTTGTGTTTTGGGGTGTCTGTGAACTTAGTATGATTTTAGGCAGCCTCTCTGCTAATGGGTGGGGTTGTGTTCCTGTCTTGCTAGTTGTTTGGCATGGGGTGTCCAGCACTGGAGCTTGCTAGTCGTTCAGTGGATCTGGGTGTTAGTGTTGAGATGAAGTTCTCTGGGAGAGCTCCCGCCGATTGATATTACATGGGGCCAGGAGGTCTCTGGTGGTCTAGTGTCCCGAACTCAGCTCTCCCACCTCAGAGGCTCCGGCAAGACCCTTTCTGCCACATGGCCAGGTACGTGGGGAGTTTTTTGCCTTTTGGGAAGTCTGAGGTCTTCTGCCAGCATTCAGTAGGTGTTCTGTAGGAGTTGTTCCACATGTAGATGTACTTTTGATGTATTTGTGGGGATGAAGGTGTTCTCCGTGTCTTACTCCTCCTCCACCATCTTGAGGGTACTCTGTGATCCATGTCTGAAGCTTCCAGTTCTGAAGCTTTGACAGCATTTCCTTCCCTCCATTCACAGCCACGTTTCTCTGCTAGCCTGTTGTTGGCAGGAGCCAGTTCCTCACAAGCTGGTGGAGTGAGCAGGTCACTTCCTCACTGCTTGTTGGCTGGAAGTCTCAATCAATTCTTTGCCATTTGAGTCTTTCCATAAGGTACCTTACACATGGCAGGTGGCTTCCATGTATATATGTCTCTGCAGATTCTCTCCCTGGTAGGCTGCTCTCGCACCAGCGTTCGCTGCCAGTCATGGAACTTCCAGAAGCTGAGGAGGCATGCTCCGAGGTTAATTATCTTTTATTGTTGTTTGTTTTCAGCTTTAATGAGGTATAATTTTTTTTATACAAATTTATTTATTTATTTATTTTTGGTTGCCTTGGGTCTTCGTTGCAGTGCATGGGCTTCTCATTGTGGTGGCTTCTCTTGTTGTGGGGCTCGGGCTCTAGGCGTGTGGGCCTCAGTAATTGTGGCTCATGGGCTCTAGAGTGCAGGCTCAGTAGTTGTGGTGCACAGGCTTCGTTGTTCCACGGCATGTGGGATGTTCCCAGACCAGGGCTCAAACCCGTGTCCCCTGCATTGGCAGGTGGATTCTTAACCACTGTGCCACCAGGGAAGTCCATAAATTATTAAATAGTTATTCTGAGTCATCCAGCAGTCCCTGGTAAGTCTGGTTAGCATATTGTCCTTCCTGTGCCCGATTAACCCTTGACACAGTGATAAAACTGAGTGGCTGATTTAAAAATAACTCGTAGTGCTATTTTTAAACAAAACAATTATTTTGTTTCTTGGTTGGGTCTTTCAAAGGTTTGTTCATTGATCATTTTTTTATTAAAGTACCCTCCCTTGGATTTGTGAATTCTAACTTTTTTTTGTTTTCCAAGACATTTCATTCCCTGCTTGTAATATTATTTCCCTCTTCCTCTTTTCCTTGAGACATTGCGTAGGATGGCCACACAGGGTTTGTCTGACGCGGTGATATTTGTTGTTTGATGTTTGAGACCTCAGTGAGCCAGGCATGTGAAGAATACCTGGGAGGAGGGTATTTTAGGCTGAGAGAACATAAATCACCAAGGCCCTGAGCAGGAGCAAGTTTTGGAAGAGTGAGCAGCAGAGTAGGCCAGGGGAAGAGTGGTCTGGGAGGAGGTAAGAGGGGGAGGCACCGCTAAGCCTTGAGAGCCCGGAGGCCATGCTGAGGAAATGGACTTTGTTCTGGGGGCTCAAGGTTACATCCCTAGTGAATGGAAGAGCCAGAATTCAAACACCTTGTCAGCCTCCAAAACCACATCTCTCACCTTCCTGCCAGGATGATACTGACTACACAGGCTTGTTGTGAGGGTCACCTGAGTGCACTTGGAAAGCCCCCAACCCATGCCTTGCACAACATAGACATGCGAACAGTGTGCCCTTTCTCCTGGTTTTCCTATGTAGGTTCAGTCCTGTTGTGTGGTCACTATGATTTGTCACTTTCAAGTATTCCTCTTTATTCCTAGGTATTGTTTTTGCCCCCTAGTTCACTTGAATATAAATACAACCATACCCACTTTCTTTTTTTTTTTTTTCTTTTTGTGGTACGCGGGCCTCTCACTGCTGTGGCCTCTCCTGCTGCGGAGCACAGACTCCGGACGCACAGGCTCAGCGGCCATGGCTCACGGGCCCAGCCGCTCCGCAGCATGTGGGATCTTCCCGGACCAGGGCACGAACCCGTGTCCCCTGCATCGGCAGGCGGACCCTCAACCACTGCGCCATCAGGGAAGACCCATACCCACCTTCTATTGATTCTATCGACTGATATGTCTTTACTCATATTTTTAGCCTTTTGGTATCATCTTGGCCCTAGGTCCTTGGTCCTAGCCCCTGGCTTTTAATGTTACTCCAAATTTGTATCTAGCCCAGACCTTACCCTTAACCTCCAGGTTTGAATGTCCTACTGCCTACTCCACTTTTCTTAGATGCCCAGGCTGCCTCTCAGGGTCAATAATCAAAACTGAACTCTTGGTCTCTCCCTTCCTCTAGTCAACCTATTCTCACCGCACCTCCGCAGCATCTCCATCTCTGTAAATGCCACTGCAGTGCCTAGTTCCTGATGCCGAGTCACTCCCAGCTCTTCCTTTTCTGTCAGTCCCCATAGTCAGCCTGTCAGCAGGCCCTGTTGGTTCAGCCTTCAAAATATGACCCATATCCCCAGCTCCTTTGTCTCTGTTGCCATCTGTGTTGTCCAGTCGCCCTCACTGCTCACCTGGCCACCAGAGTAGCCTCCAAAGTGATCTCTGCTTCCCCTTTGCTCCCCTACAATCTATTTTCCACACAACAGTTAGAAAAAAATTTATAAAATACCAGACAATCCTTATACTTAGAACCTGCCAGTGATTTCTTACTCCGTTTAGAATAAAATCCAAGTTCCTGACCATGATGCATAAGGCCCTGCAGCTAATCTGGCCCCTGCCTTCCTCTCCAGCCTCATGGGGGAGGCCCTGTCCCTTGTTCGGCCATACCTCAGTAACACTACCTCCTTTCTGTTCCTTGAACAGGCCACCCACCTGCCCTGCGAGACTTATGGCCTTGGACTTACAGTTTCCTTTGCTTAGAGTACACTTTCCTCAGCTCTTCATTGTAGGCCTCTTCTCATCCTTCCTGTCTTAGTTCAGTTGTCATTTCAGAGGGCCCTGCCCCACCCTCTTGTAGAAGTGGGATGCCCTGATCCCACCCCTTAGTCACCCTCTGTTGTATCATTTGTTTATTTCCCACAAAATGCTATCACCACGGGTAGTTAATATTTGCTTTTTGCTTATCATCTGATTCCACCCCGGGATGTAAGCTCCATAAGGATATGTGTGGACTTTGTTCTCTTTATTTGCTACCATTTCCCCATTGCCTCATACACAGCAGTTACTTCATAACTACTTGGGTTTTGTGGCTCAGCTGAACGTGGAGCAGGGTGCACAGAAGAGGTGGCCCCAGAGTATCAACAGTGGGGATGACGTAGGCATTGATTCTGAATGAATGAATGAATGAATGAGTGAATGAGAGAGTAAGTGAATACTTAGGTTTAGCTCATCAAATGGTTGGATTTCTTAAATCTATTTTGAGACTCACTTAAATTTTTTCAAGTTGTGGTAAAATATACATAACATGGGGCTTCCCTGGTGGCGCAGTGGTTGAGAGTCCGCCTGCCGATGCAGGGGACACAGGTTCGTGCCCCGGTCCGGGAGGATCCCACATGCTGCGGAGCGGCTGAGCCCATGAGCCATGGCCGCTGAGCCTGTGCATCTGGAGCCTGTGCTCCGCAATGGGAGAGGCCACAACAATGAGAGGCCTGCGTACCACAAAAAAAAAAATAATAATAATAATACATAACATGAAATTTACCGTCTTGATATTTTAAAAGTTGTAATTAAGAAACATGTAGCAGGGGCTTCCCTGGTGGCACAGTGGTTGAGAGTCCGCCTGCCGATGCAGGGGACACAGGTTCGTGCCCTGGTCCGGGAGGATCCCACATGCCACGGAGCGGCTGGGCCCGTGAGCCATAACTACTGAGCCTGCGCATCTGGAGCCTGTGCTCTGCAACAAGAGAGGCCGCGACAGTGAGGCCCGCGCACCGCGATGAAGAGTGGCCCCCACTGGCCACAACTAGAGAAAGCCCTCGCACAGAAAACCAAGACCCAACACAGCCAAAAATAAATTAATTAATTAATTTTAAAAAATTCCTCCATAAACATACCACTAAGCTTTAAAAAAATAAAAATAAAATAAAATAAATAAAAAACACGTAGCATAGGGACTTCCCTGGTGGCGCAGTGGTTAAGAATCCGCCTGCCAATGCAGGAGACACGGGTTTGAGCCCTGGTCTGGGAAGATCCCACATGCCGCGGAGCAACTAAGCCCATGCGCCACAACTACTGAGCCTGTGATCTAGAGCCTGTGAGCCACAACTACTGAAGCCCGCTCGCCTAGAGTCCATGCTCGTCAACAAGAGAAGCCATTGCAGTGAGAAGCCCATGCACCACAACGAAGAGTAGCCCCTGCCCACCGCAACTAGAGAAAACCCGTGCGCACCAACAAAGACCCAACGCAGCCAAATATAAATAAATAAATTTATTTATTTATTTAAAAAAAATATGGCAGTCTTCAAAAGTTAAAAAAAAAACAACATGTAGCATAAAATTTAACACCTTAACCATTTCTGAGTGTATAGTTCCGTAGTGTTAAATATATTCACATTGTTTGGTAGCCAATCTCCAGACCTCTTTCCTTCTTGCAAACTGAAACTCTATGCCCATTAAACAACAAACAATTCCTCATTTTCTCCTCCCGCCAGCCCTTGGGAACCACCATTCTACTTTCTGTCTCTATGAATTCGAGCACTTTAGGTCCCTTATATAAGTGGACTCATACAATATTTGTCCTTTGGTGACTGGCTTATTTCACTTAGCATAATGTCCTGAAGGTCCATCCGTGTTGTAACATATGTCAGCATTTCGTGCTTTTTAAGGCTGAATAACATTCAGTTGTCCGTATATACTGCATCTTGTTTATCCATTTGTCTATCGATGGATACTTAAGTTGCTTCCACCTTTTGGCTATTGTGAATAATGCTGCTATGAAAGTGGGTGTACAGATATCTCTTTTTGAGACCCTGCTTTTGGTTCTTTTGGATATATACCCCGAAGTGGGATTGCTGGATCATATAGTAATTCTATTTTTAATTTTTTGAGGAGCTGCTGTACTGTTTTCCATAGCAGCTCCATCACTTTACATTCCCACCAGCAGTGCACAAGGGTTCCAATTTCTCCATATCCTTGCCAACACATGTTATTTTCTGTTTTTGATAGTAGCCATCCTAAAGGATGTAAAGTGGTATCTTACTGTGATTTTGATTTGCATTTCCCTAATTAATGATGTTGAGCATCTTTTCATGTGCTTGTTGGACATTTGTGTATCTTTGGAGAAATGTCTTAGGCTCACTTTCAATAGAATAATTAAAGATTTTATGTTTTGTTGTCAATATTATGCTTAGCTCGAGTTTAAAAAGAATTTTTTTATTGTGGTAAAAAACGCATAAGATTTACCACCTTAACCATTTCTAAGTATGCAATTCAGTAGTGTTAAGTATATTCCCATCGTTGTGCTGCCAGTCTCTAGAACTTTTTCATCTTACAAAACTGAAACTCTATACTCATTAAACTCAACTTGACTTTTAATATGTTGTTTTGTATGTTCTTTGTTCTTTCTGTTTTACTAATATGAAGTTTCTGGAGCAGCAGAGCTGAGAGTACCCAAACTTGTACTGAGGCAACTCTACTGAGGTAAGCTTCATTCTGAAGTCCCATCTGGGCCAACAGCAGGTCATCTCCCTGACACTTCTGGGTCCACAGGGCTCCAGGGGCCCAGTGGGAGATGAAGACAGGCACCTATATTCCTGCCTTAAAGGATTGGCCTAGGGCACTTATGATGGGCCATCCTCACCCAAATGGTTCTATGTATGGCCATTTGGAATCACTACACAACAGTGGAAAAGCTGTTCCCATGAAGGAGTGGTCAGCTTTGAAACCTTGGCCATTCTCATGCACTGGAACACTGGTGCAGTTTTCTGGAGGGCAGTTAGACACCCTATCAAAAGCCTGAGCCATGAGCCTACTCTGACCAGTGGTCTACAAAGATTTTATTTTAAAGGAAAATAAAAACATCTGCAAAGATAGATACACAGGATGTTCATCACAACACTGTATATAATAGTATGAAATTGGCAGCAACCTAAATGTACAGCAGTTAAAGATTTGTTAAAAAATTAAGATCCGGGACTTCCCTGTGGTCCAGTGGTTAAGACTCCGCACTCCCAATGCAGGGGACACAGGTTTGATCCCTGGTTGGGGAACTAAGATCCCAGATGCCACATGGCACAGGCAAAAAAAAAAAGTCAAGATCCACCTACATATGAAAATGAGGCTAAATGTAAATTGTGATTTTTCCCTGGGCACTGGAATAAGGGTTGTAATTTATCTTTATTTTTTTAATCCATTAAGAAAGTTTACTCAATATATATAATTTTTAGAAAGAGAAAGAATTTGATTTATATTTTTAATTCAGTAAAAATGTATGCTAATCTGCGGGTGATAATTATGAGTGATTTCTGTGTTTTCAGAATATTTTACCAGAGGCATATATTACTTTTGTAATCAGAGCAAAAAGTAAAGGTTATTTGAAAATAAAAATAGGACAGTTCCCTGGTGGCCTAGTGGTTAGAATTTGGGGCTTTCACTGCCGTGGCCCAGGTTCAGCCCCTGGTCAGGGAACTGATATCCCGCCAGCTGCGTGGCACGGCCAAATAAATAAATAAATAAATAAAATAAAATCTTTGGAAATGGGATAGCATCATGTATTTTTCACCTTATGATTGTTTCAGGTCAGCCCCATGGCTATTCCACATGGTTCAAATGAAACTTCCTATTTGCTACCTCCAAACAGTGAGGACTGGGGAGGGCACGGCATTCCTGACTTTGTCTATGGGCAGAAGGAACTCGTGCCAGAAGGGATTCAGTGGCCAAGGAGCGGACCCAGCCTTCTGGACACACTGCCACTGTCTCGCTTTGACTCTGCCCTCTGCTTGGCCTGGAGGCAGCGGATGGAGCTGGGGCTGTTCCGCTACTGTCTGGGGGAGCTGCAGACCCAAATCCTTCCTGGTGCTGTGGGTTTTGTTGCTCAGCTGAATGTGGAGCGAGGTGTGCAAAGAAGGAGCCCCCAGAACATCAGGAGCGTGAGGCAGGCGTTTGACCCTGAACAGTTTAACTTCAACCAGATCCGGCCAGGAGAAGTCCTCTTCCGCTTGCACCGGGAGCCCGATCTCCCTAGTGCTGCTCTCCAGCAAGACGACATCCTCGTGGTGATCAATGTCAGCCCCTTGGAGTGGGGCCACGTGCTGCTGGTGCCCGAGCCCACCCGAGGGCTCCCCCAGCGCCTGCTGCCAGGGGCACTGCAGGCCGGGGTTGAAGCTGTGCTGCTGAGCTCACACCCAGGCTTCCGAGTCGGCTTCAACAGCCTGGGTGGCCTGGCCTCAGTGAACCACCTCCACCTGCATGGCTATTACTTGGCCCACAGACTGCCCGTGGAGGGGGCCCCAAGCAAACCCCTGGATCCTGGGGGCCGTCTTCATCTGCTCCAGGACCTCCCAGCTCCTGGCTTCCTCTTTTACACGAGCGGGCCAGGGCCCGACTTGGAAGCCTTGATAAGCAGGGTATGTCTGGCCACTGACTATCTGGCTGACCACGAGATTGCACATAACTTGTTTGTGACCCGGGGGGCTCCACCTGGAAAGACATCATCTTCCTCAGCCCTCACGGGGGTCCGAGTAATTCTTTGGGCCCGGAAGTCCAGCTTTGGGATAAAGAAAGGCGAGGCCTTCAATGTTGCCCTCTGTGAGCTGGCCGGGCACCTCCCTGTCAAAACGTCCCAGGACTTCAGCAGCCTGACAGAGGCGGCGGCTCTGGCCGTCGTCCGAGACTGTCTGCTGCCCCCAGCCCAGGCGGGAGAGGTGCAGGCAGCACTGGTGGCCTTGATAGCCAAGGAGGAGCAGTAATCCTTCCAGAAGTATTTATTTTGTAACCGATCTAAGTCTCTTTCCAGAAAGCTGTCCATCATGATCATGTGGGCACTTTAATGAATGCCTTCTCACCTGTCTCAGCCTAAGGGGAGGGATAAAGAACTGGTAAGTGGTCTCTTTAAGGAGGAGGATACCTTGGAGTAAATCGAATGAATGAGCCCTCATGGATGTATCTGCTGCTTTTCACCTTTCTTCTTAGATAAGCCCCAGGAATGTCAAGCCTATTGTTAAGAAGGGAGTGTGTGTAAGAGTTAACACACTCCTGACTTGTATATGCCAACTTTTCTCTTCCTGTCTTATTAAATCTTAGCAAAGTGATAGTTTATCACTTCCTCTGTTCTTGCCTCTCTGCCTGTTCTCCCTTTGCCCACCACTGAGTTGTATTTCTTCATCCTGTCCCTACACATGTCCCCTCCATCCATATGCCCTATTTATAGCACATTCTTCGCCTACCTGGCCACCTTGAATTTTCCTTCAGCCCCAAAGCTGAGCTGAGTGTTCTTCACATACATCATTTCATGTGAAAACAAGGTGTCCTCACAACTTGAAAGTTGCAGGTCCTCTTAATACCCCTATTTAACAGACAAAGATATGGAGGCTGACACAGGTTTAGTAATTTATCCAAGGTCAGATGGCTCAAAAGTAGTGGAGTCAGGACTGCAACACAGGCAATCAGACACTTGAAGCTGAGCTGGGGCTGTGCACGTGTGACTGCCATGTTAATAAAGTCTCATTGAGATGAAGCAGAATATGCATCACAACCCATTTCATAAGAAAATCAGTTTAACATTTAAATTCCTATAAACAGTTTTGGTCACCCTCATGTTTTGGGCACACTGCAGTAATTTCAGCCTAATGCCTCTTTGTGCAAGCCTTTGCAAATATGGCCTCCAATACCATCACTTTATTTTGCTCGCTCACTCTCTGAAGGGAGTGCAGATGACCATTAGAGTTAAGTGGACTTTGTGTGTCGAAGGTGATGAGTCCAAATACCAGGATTTCCCCAGTTTTTCCTTAGGATTAATGTTCAGAGGAAAGCCTTCTCTGGCCCCAAATAAGTTTTTCCACAAAAAGTAAAGGCAAATAGGTTTTCTTTGTGGTGGTACTTCTTAGCCATGAATACTTTGTGAATCATCCAGAAGGGGATTTATGGAAGCTTTTTCTGAGCTTGAATATGGAACACTTAGGAGACCCTTTGTATCCAGAGCCCTGGGCTTTGAGCACAGTAGGTAAGTAAGAAGGGACAATCCAGCTCAGGGCCTCTCCACCGCTTTGCTTGCTTTTTGTTTGTTTTATTTTTTGATGGAAGGTCTTTTGTACTAAGGGGTTTTGGACTTGATCTAATGGGAAACCTTGAAGAGTTTTAAATTGGGGAGTAACAAATATGCATTTTAGGGCGAATACTTAAGCTGCAGTGGATGGATGGATGGATGAAGGAAGGAAAAATAGAATAAGGGAATCCAATTAAGAGGCTGCTTAATGGTGGCAATTCAGGCAAGAAATGATGGTTCAGGTACTAGAACAGTGCCTGGAACGTTAAATATCTGTTAAATATGTGCCTGGAACGTTAAATATTTCCATTGGTTCAGAAGCCCCATGGCCAGGGGCTTCTGCACCAATGGAAATATTCTCCTCTTGGGTCTCTGGAGCTTCTGTTATCTGAACGAAGTGTCTGCTGGCCACATCCTATCTCAATATATGCTGCTTGCCTGGAAGCAAGCTCAGCTGGTCCCTCCAGGGCAGGTGAGCCTATCTTAGGGGGAAGACTGGGAGCTTCAGAGCCAACAGTAGAGCCAGCTGAATGATCCAGCCTTCTAAGCAGCTTAGCCTAGCACTCCACATCCATTAAGAGTCAGTGTGGGGTGAGAAGTGGAGTCAGAAAGAGTGAGAAAAATGTGCGTCCTGAAAGGCAAGGGACTCCAAAGCATTTCAAGGAGGGGGTAATAGAGTATCATACACTGAAGGGAGGTCAAGAAATCTATGAATCGGAAAATGTACATGTCTTTTTAGAGGAGCGAAATTTTTTAAGTGTCCTTTAGATTTAGGCACATGGGATAATCTTAAAGTGACAAATTGGGCGGAGTTTGGTGGAGGTGGCAATCAGAGGTAAAGCGGATGGACATCAGGATAAGATGGCGAGAGTAAAGGAGCAGTCTGATGAGCACCTCCAGGGCACGTGTGATAATCACGGCCGTCCCTCCCAAGTGCTGGGACTGCGCTAGACATGGTTACTAATGGTTACTAATTACTTGGATAATTGGGGCTTCTCGTCCCGAACACTGCGTTGGCCAAATGCCGGGAGCTTGGCCCGCGGATTCAGGAAAGGGTCAGGAAAGGGGGTGGGGCTCGTGCGAACTGGCGTGAAAGCGGAAGGACTAGAAGTCCTATCACGCATCGGGTCAGTTGCCGCAAGAATCCGCCCTCCAGTGCCAGGCGCTCGATTGCGCTTCCTACGGCAGCCCAGGGGCAAACGTCTCAGGCACCCGCCCAATATGGCCTCTGCTGGCGCCAAAGTGGGTGTGGTTCTCGGAAAGGCCCCGCCCCCAGAACGCTTCTCCAATGGGGGCCGCCCTCGTGTCCATGGCGACGGCGGCGGCGGCAGCCTGCTTGCTTAAGGCGGCGCCGCCGGGATCTCCAAGATAGGTATGAACCCCGGGTGCAGGGGGGAGCGGGCCCCCCTCGCGATCGCCGGGGATAGCCATTCCCGTGGAACAAGGAGGCGGTCCCGGAGGCCCAGCAACGCCCGGGAAGGAGCGAGAGACGGCCGAAGGGCGGTCGTGAGCGACCAGCTGAGTCCAGCACCAGGCCGATAGGGGCGGACCCGGCAGCCCCTCCGCTCTCGCAACCTGCGGTGGGCATTGTCCGCCGGGGGCTTCCCCTCCGCTGTCAGAGCCCAGGGGGTCTTGGTGCCTGGCCCCAGTGTGTCTGTATGGAGAAACTGAATCATGGGACAGGGAAAAGGCTGGCCTAGGCGACCTTTGGTCTTCAGCTCTATTTTTCAAAGTGAAGGTCCCCCCAGCACACCCAGCCATCCCCCATTACATTCAAGAACAGAAAAGCTATGGTCATGGTCCCTGCCAGCTCAGTTCAGCTCCTGCATGCACCCCAGAGTATTGTATGGAGTGATCTTGGATAATTGGGGCTTGTCAGCGAATCTAACATCTCATAGGCATTCCACGGACCCCATTACCTATTTGGAAACATCCCATGCTGTAGTGGGACTGCTCTGTTCTGAAGGAGCAGCAACATTCCCTTATAATACCATGAAGGTCCTTGGGTGGATTCCTGCCGTCCTTCCTGGGCCTGGAGGGAAGTCATATACATTTCACTCCCACCCCTCTCTCCTCAGAATCTAAGAGGATGGAGCCAAGTACCTGTAAGACCAGCGAATCAGAGGAAAACTATGGTGAAGAAGAGGAATCCGAGGAGTGTGTTAAAGGGGAAGCTACCATCCCTTCTAACCCTTCTCAGCAGGCACTCTCAAAGCTGACTAATGCATTTAGGAATAGAGTTCCTTTATCCATTGTAGCCAAGAAAATACCAAAGAAAATCATAACCCCAGCTGACCCAGATGAATTAGAAGTTGGGGGAGAAAGAGAAGGTGGAAACACAGGTAACCGTTCCCTGGACCCCCTCACTTGCCCAGCTCCAGAGAGTAACCCTCTGCCCTTCAGCAGTCGGGCTGGGATCCAAAGTCTTCCCTTTAGCCTAGGAAAGAGAACAGGAAATACAGGAGGTCATTAGCCTTTTTGTACAACAAAAACAAAATTCAGAATCACTTGGGCTGGCTTAGTTTAGAATTTCAGCACGTTTATATCATCCTGGTCTTTCCTTTAAGTGGCTTCTAGAGAAAATGAATTGCACTGTTAATCTGTTGGGTGTCTCTTCTTCTGGGTGCCTGGCAGCCCAGGGTCCTTCTCTCCTTCTGCCTGATTTCTGCTATTCCTCCATTCCAGACCCCTGGCCATCAATCTGACCAACTGCAAGTATGAGAGTGGTAAGCACCCAGCTCGTCACTCACACCACTGGGCATGAGAGGACATTTAGGGCTGCGACTTTCACTCTGGAGGTGGTCCCCTCAATCTGCTCCCAGCCCCTGGATCTTGTTAGGCTGGCCTATAACCTGTACTGAGCCTCCTGGCTCAGCTACCAATAGCTGACACATCATTGTTCCAGTTAGTCTCAGCAGTAGAGTAGGAATCTCCAGTTAGCTAACAAGAAAAAAAATGACAAAAATCACCATCCCTCCCCCCACCCTGCCCCAGATTTTACCAGAGATGAGATGAGACCAGGTTAAAACTGTTTTTTCAAGGTAACTTTTGAGGTGGCTTCAGCAATTAAGAAAAAAGAAAAATCACCAGCTAGGTTAGTCATTTCTTCCTCCCCTCATCCCCACTGGCATCTACGGGTGCCCCAAAGTGTGAGGCGCCAGTGTGACCCCTTCCAAGGGTCAGCTCTGCAGGCCAGAAACCATCCTAATTGAGAGGACTGACAGGAACAGAGATCCAGTCTATAGTTTTCTGTCAAATTTTGGAAGGACCCTGACAGCCTCATGAACTTGGAGTTGTCGCAATGGTAACTAAACTGAGGTAAGCAGAGCTGAGGTAAGAACTACCTCCTTCTTCATCACACTCTCTGGTCAGGTCTGTTCCTCACCCAACCCAGCTGCAGTCCCAAGGTTTGCTGCCAGTGCCCAGGCTGGCTCCACTGACCTCCCTCTCTCCACAGTGCGTCGGGCAGCCCAAATGTGTGGCCTGAAGGAGGTGGGGGAGGACAAAGAGTGGACTGTGTATTGGACAGACTGCTCTGTCTCACTGGAACGCATCATGGACATGAAGAGGTTTCAGGTACAACCTCCAGACCCAAGATCCTAAAGGAACTATGCCCCAGAATGACTACTCCTACCCTTGCACCCAGGCACCCGAGGCTGCCACTCTGGTGGCTATACCCCTATGCAGAGCAGGAAAGGCCATGGCCAGGGGCTTCTGCACCAATGGAAATATTCTCCTCTTGGGTCTCTGGAGCTTCTGTTATCTGAACGAAGTGTCTGCTGGCCACATCCTATCTCAATATATGCTGCTTGCCTGGAAGCAAGCTCAGCTGGTCCCTCCAGGGCAGGTGAGCCTATCTTAGGGGGAAGACTGGGAGCTTCAGAGCCAACAGTAGAGCCAGCTGAATGATCCAGCCTTCTAAGCAGCTTAGCCTAGCACTCCACATCCATTAAGAGTCAGTGTGGGGTCCTGCATGGCAGCAAGAAAGTCAGGAAAGGTAGACCAGGGTCCACAAGAAGATATTACTTCTTTTTCTTTTCTAAATTAATTTATTAATTTATTTTTGGCTGCATTGGGTCTCTGTTTCTTCGCCCCTTGGAGGGAGGGGGGCTGGGGGGACTACTTTACATTGCGGTTGCACGGGCTTCTCATTGCGGTGGCTTCTCTTGCTGCGGAGCATGGGCTCTAGAGCGCAGGCTCAGTAGTTGTGGCACACGGGCTTAGTTGCTCCGCCACATGTGGGATCTTCCCCAACCAGGGCTTGAACCCGTGTCCCCTGCACTGGCAGGCGGAAGCCCCAGATATTACTTCTTCATGGTATTTTTGTTATCCTCTAATTGGGTCTTTGTGGTGGTTAGCAAAAAAAAGTGTCTGTAGGCTTATTTTGAGAGAAGGCAAGCAGGGAGCTGAGACTATCACCTATCCCACGAATTATGGGAGAAGAGCGAGAGCAAGAGTGAGAGCGAGAGCGAGAGACTGCTAGAAGCGCTCAAAAAGCCCCTAAGAAGGGGCATGCAGAGAGCAGTTGTGAGATGAGGGTAACAATAACAGCATTTATTGAGGTCGGACACTGTTAAGTGCTTTTACATTCTCACCTCATTAAATCCTCAAAAAGATACCCTTATGTTTGTTTTGTTTTGTTTTGTTTTGTTGGCTTCGGCCACAGCTTGTGGGATCTTAGTTGCCCGAACAGGGATCGAACCCGTGCCCCCTGCAGTGAAAGCACCAAGTCCTAACCACTGGACCGCCAGACAATTCCCAAAAGATACCCTTATGTTAAGGACACTGAGGCTCAGAAATACTCAGTTCACACAGCTCATGAGGGGAAAAAGCAGAGAGCACTGAACCTCCCAGCCCTGAGGGCCAGAGCAGCGGGGCGGGGGCTTCCAGCAGGCCACCCTGGCAATGCCTTGCCCTCTGAGAGTGCCACTGCCGTGCATTCCCTGGGGCTGCTCCTTAGTTTCCTTTCTCTTTGGGGAAATGTTTTCTCATTTGCTTTGTGTTATTCTGCACCAGTTATTCCTATAGGGCTAGTCCCCGGTAGTTGAGGGATGTTATAAGGTGGCTAGAAGGCCCAAAGTCCTGGCTAGCCCTTCTCACCGACCCTCATTTGCTAACCTTGCTGTGTATGTGTGTTTTGGGGAGAGGCCAAGCAGCAGTTTCCCACCTGCCTTAGGGAGCCTTCCTTTTCTCCCTTGGGGACTAGGTGCAGTGTTTACCTCCACTGTGACTTCTCCCTTGACCTCCCCAGTCCTTTTCCACTGCTATCTGGAATGTTCAGGCCCCAGGAACTGCCCCTTACTCTGGGTGATAGTATAACCAACTGGCTGTGTTTCAGAAAGTCAACCACTTCCCTGGCATGACAGAAATCTGCCACAAAGATCTGCTGGCTCGGAACCTCAGCCGCATGCAGAAACTCTATCCTACTGAGTGCAACATCTTCCCGTGCATCTGGTGCCTCCCTGCAGAGTGAGTGAGCCTGGCTCCCCAGGTTGAGATTCTGGGGGAGGAAAGGGTTCGCCATCTCAGTTCCCACCAGACTCTGGCTCTGGGACCTAGAATGTCTCAGGGGGATGGAAGTAAAAGGGAAGTTTTAGCTGAAAAGAGAAGGTTAGGGCTTCCCTGGTGGCACAGTGGTTGAGAGTCCGCCTGCCGATGCAGGGGACACGGGTTCGTGCCCCGGTCCGGGAAGATCCCACATGCCGCGGAGCGGCTGGGCCCATGAGCCATGGCCGCTGAGCCTGCGCGTCCGGAGCCTGTGCTCCGCAACGGGAGAGGCCACAACAGTGAGAGGCCCGTGTACCGCAAAAAAAAACACAAAAAACCAGTAACTACCTTATATGGTTACTGTGAAAAAAAATTTTTTTTTGGTTACTGTGAAAATTAAATGAGTTATTATGTATTTGAAGTGCTTACAACAGTTTATGGTACATAGTAAGTACTTCAAAAGTACAGTCGGCCCTCCCTCCTTATCTGCAGATGTGGAACCCGTGGATGTGGAGGGCTGACACCATTTTATACAATGGACTTGAGCGTCCATGGAGTTTGGTATCCATGGGGGGTGGGGGTCCTGGATCCAATCTCCTGCAGATACTGAGTGACCACTGTATTATTACTTTTCCCTGGTGGGTTTGCATGCTCTCAGCCCTTCCTCATTGATGGCTTCAAGTTTGACATGCGAATGTATGTCCTGATCACACCCTGTGACCCTCTTCGGACCTCCATGTATGAGGAGGGCCTGGCCAGCTTTACCACCATGCCCTACGTGGAGCCCAGCCACAGCAACCTGATAAGAGGCCAGCTGGGGAACTTACCTGGCAGTCCAGTGTTTAAGACTTCGCCTTCCAATGCAGGGGGTGTGGATTCGATCCCTGGTCTGGGAGCTAAGATCCCACCTGCCTCCTGGCCAGAAAACCAAAATATAAAACAGAAGCAATATTGTAACAAATTCAATAGAGACTTTAAAAAATGGTCCACATAAAAAAAAAAATTCTTTAGAAAAAAAAAATCCTTAAAAAAAAAAAAAGAGGCCAACCAGCAGCACTAGAGTGCAGGGCAGCACCTTCTTCTCTTCCACTGCCACAAGTGCTGAGGTTCTGTGGAGAAACCAGGTAGAGGGGCTTGTCACGCAGCTAGCTTGTCACACATGAACAAGGAGTGAACCCTGGAGCGCCTTGGCACCTGGCTGGAAGGACAGCATTGAGGGGGTGCTGACTGCAGAAAAGCCATGCCTGCAGGAAGGGCACACCCCTTCCCCAGGAGCTTACAGGACAGTCCTCTGTGAAGAGGGACAGGAGATGAGCCATCCAGGGGTGGGGTAGGTAACCAGAAGGCAACGAATGGCTGGAGAGAAGAACTACATGGAAGTAGCCTGACCACAGGGCCACTCTCTTCCCAGGATGACCCCTGCATGCACCTGACCAACTATGCCGTCAACAGACACAATGAGAATTTTGTCCGGGATGATGCTGTGGGCAGTAAGAGGTATGCCCTACTCTATTTTCTCCTCTTTTTCTGCCCTTTAGCCCCACAGTCTCAGCAGAGCTGAGTCGGCCCTTGGGAGGTTGAGCTGGCTCAACCCTTATAGACCCCTGTCCTGTGCCTGACCACCAAGTGCAGCCCCAAACCCCACCCTATAATTAAACCCTGCTCCAAGCTGGCGGCAACCCCTTAAAGCACAAGGAACCTAGGCATGGAATTAGGATTAGTGTTAGGGAGCTTCCCGTCTGCAGCCCGGCCCCACTGATCTTCCTCTGAGCATTGGGCCTCACAGGAAGCTGTCAACACTCAACGCCTGGCTGTGAGAGCACAGCTACGACCCCCAAGAGCTGTGGGGAGATATTGAGGACATAATCATCAAAGCCATCATCTCGGCACATTCTGTTCTTTGCCACAGCTACCGAACCTGTTTTCCCCAGAATCTGAGTAGGAGGTACATGTGCCTGTTTTGAGATCCTCGGTTTTGACATCTTGCTGGACCACAAGCGGAAGCCCTGGCTGCTGGAGGTGAGGATTACCTCCCGGGCTTTGCAAAACCAAGGTCCACCCCTGAACAGGACACCTGGGATAGGAGTGTACTCAAGTGGTGGAACACAGGATGAGGGATGCAGAGGCACTAGGGTGGATAGGATCTAGCAGAAGGTGTAAGACATTTGCACTTTTGACCTGCTAAATCCAATCTTGGTGGTCTCTGGCCTCCACCGTAGGAACCCAGGTTTTGGATCCCAAAAGTTCCTCATGTAAGCCTTGCCTTTAAAGACACTATCGCTATAGAGTCAGGCTGTCTGATTTGCTCTCACCAGCCTATGCACTGGAGGGATCTCTGTGGCAGAGTCCTGTGGTCTTGGAAGTCAGTCAGAACATCCAGCTTCCTTGGCTGAGGCCACGAAGCGGGGGGCGGGCACTGGAGGGGGATGTCTCTCCTAGAACCTCCAGCTGGGCCTGCAAGAATCATGACCTGCTCAGGTGGTCTAGGAAGGGGATGGATAATGACTCCTCCCGGCAGGTAAACTACTCTCCAAGCTTCACCACCGACTCACACCTTGATTGAGAAGTGAAGGATGCACTTCTCTGTGATACCATGACCCTTGTCAACCTCCAGGGCGTGACAAAAGAAAGGTGACAGAAGAGGATAAGTGGCGAGTCAAGGAGCGGCTTTTCCAGTGCCACCAACAGCCAAGAGAAGCCAGGGGCCTCAGGTGTTTGACGTGTGTTTAGTTGTGTAACTTACCTTATTACTTTCCTGAGAGTAAAAGTCCTTCTCTAGATGGAGAAGGCAGTCTGGGGTTGATTAGCTATTAAAAACATTTTTTTTGCATCGATAATACACCACATATCATAGATAAGTGATGCATTATCTATGCAAATTCCAAAGACACAGTGAATAGTCTCTCCTACCCTCCTCCTCCAGCTACTCAGTTTTCCTCCCTGGAGCCAATCAATGTTCCCTGGGTCATGTGTATACTTTCACAAACATTTAATGCACATATATACATGTATTTATATAAATTGTTTTCTCCCTTTACCCAGAAAATAGCATAACTTTCACACTGTCTGTATCCTACTTACCAATGCATTTTACAGCTATTTATGCATTTTATAGCTATTTCCTATTAGCATGTAAGGAACTTTATGGGGTTTGTTCTTTTTTTTTTTTATTTTCAACAAAGCTCCTCTAGAAACCATTACCTAAGAAGGTTTATAATTATGAAACAGAAAACAGTTTAGTCATTCAATAATAGGTTATTGTTTAAATCAGTAGTTTACCCACTGTTGTTTTAATTGTAAGATGGGTTACAAACATGGTAATGTGTTGCTGATACTCAATTATAATTTGTTAATAATAAAAATGAACTTGAGTGGAGTGAGGATTATTCTTGTAATAGTATCACTCTTCACCACTTGCATTGCGATATGCAGGCCAGTGTGTATCTGATTTGCCATGATATCCTGAGGACCTGGCACACAGTAGGCACTCAAATGTCTGTGTGAATGAAGGTGAAGTATAACTGTAAATACCCTAGGTATTCCCACGAGACTGGACTGTGCACATGTCTTTCAATGAAAAAAAGTTGAAAACTACTGGACTTAAAAAACAACAGTACGATCATAGAATCAGAATACTAGGCAGCCATTTAAAAATGTTATATGATCCCATTTTCATCTAAAGCAAAGAAGGAAGGAAAGGAAGGAAGGAATAAAGAAAGAACAAGGTAATGAGTGGCAAAGCCAGGGTTCAAACTCAGTAAGTCCTGCCCTAGAGTCCATGCTCATGGCCAATATGCTTATTTCACAGTAAGATTAGAGGTTTTTATCTTCTTTTTGCTCTTCTAAATTTTCTGTAATTAACAGATACTACTCTATAATCAGAAACCTAAAAGACTATGATAACTTGGAGTGCTAGTTTACAAGTGGACACCATTGCACTTAAGATGAAAACCAGAAGCCTGCTCTGTAATTACAACGGGTGAGGGCGGCTGCCAAAGCAGTTCAAGCCCAGAAGTCACGCCCTCAGACGGAAGCGGAAAAGACGCGCCAGCCCCTCAGCTTCCCGCCCAATTCCGGCCCCGCCCCCCCGGCTTCAGGAGCTACCCTGTGGCGGGGGTGGGGGAGGGCTTTTTCTCGTCGACATGGCGGTTTCTCTGAACTGCCTGCTGGGTGGGGGTGTCCGTGCCGCGGTCGCTCGCTGTGGGTTTGCTACCCGAGGCGTGGCGATCCCGGGATCTGTCGGCCGTGAGCCGGACCCCGATTCCGACTGGGAGCCGGAGGAGCGGGAGCTGCAGGAGGTGGAGAGGTACCGGCTCCTTCCCGGGCCCTCAGCCTGAAGCAGGGCCTCGGGCCTGGACGCCCCAGGCCGCGCCCCCTTGGCGCCGGGCGTCCTGCGGCGGTCCTTATTTCTCACCCGTTGTCAGGGGCACAGGGCAGCTGTTAGCTCCTTTGGGACCACGAGTCCCTTCACCAAGGACGTATTTCATCACGCGTTTAAAGAATTCGGCAACAGCTTATGGACTGTTGTTGTTCTTGGTGTTAGATTTCTGGGGCGGTGTTCAGAGCAGGTCTAGGCTGACAGACATGGCCAGGTTGCCCTTGCAAAGAGAAGCGGGCTGGGCGCTCTGACTTAGCCCAGGGCTCTCAAACCACCCATCTGGCTTCCACGCATGGCTTCTGCCATTGGTTCTCTCTCCCAGCGCCCTGAAACGACAGAGAAAAGCTATCCGGTTCCAGAAAATTCGGAAGCAAATGGAGGCGCCAGGTTCCCCGCCCAGGACCCTGACGTGGGAAGCCATGGAGCAGATCCGGTAAGACTGTTGGCAGTTAGGATCTGCGGTGATGAGCAGTGAAGGATACTGGGGCTTAGAACTTAGAACGTTGTTTTTGTATTTTTTGCTTTTTATCTTTCAAGATTTCTAACAGAAAAGTCAAGTAATAAGATAAACGTCGATGAGCCCGCCATCTAGATGTAATAGTTTTTAACGTTACGACACGGTTCGTTTTTTGCCGAAATTTTAAAATAGTAAGTTACAGGCGTCACAACATTTAACCCGTGTATATGACGTTCTTGATCTAAGGAACAGGGATGGAGCTTCCATGGTCACGTTGCTCTGAAGAGAGGATCCGTATCTTAGAAAAGAGATCCTTTTTTAAATTTTAAGTTTTTTGTTTTGAATAGATAATACATATGGCTCAAAATTAGAACAGTATAACAGGGTATACGCATTGAGAGGTGTTAATCCCCCCTAGTCTCCTATGGATACTATTTTTAATAGGTTTTTGGGTCATTTTCTAGGTTTCTTTATGCAAATAGAAGCAAGCACGTATGAATACAGAATTTTTTTTTCACTTCTATAATCACGAACAGTAGAATACTATCAATGCTGTTCTGTACTTTGCTTTGTTCGCTTACTATATTCTGAAGCTCTTTTCACTTCCCAAGAGAGAGCTCCTCATTCTTTTCTGTAGGTGCTTAGTAAACTGTAGTTTATTTTACCTGTCTTTTATGGTGGGCACTTGAATTGTTTCCACTCACTTGCTGTAACAAATAGTGCTCCAGTGCATAACTTTGTGTACTCTAAATATCTGCCAGAAGTTTTTACACTTACGTAAATGTATGTGTTACATACCTTCCTAGAGGTAGGGTTGCTACTGAACCGAAGTGCCAATGGACTTGCATTTTGATAAATATTGCTAAATAGTCCTTTGTAGGTCATGTTCCTTTTTCCATTCCCATCAGAATAACTCTGGAATTGAGACTTAGAATAAAGGGGGTTTTATAGAGCTGATCAAGATTTTATGAGCCTGTAGCAGCTTTCTCCTGTCAGCTTCCTCTCCTATCTTGAACACCAGCCTTTTCAACCTTTCCATCTTCCCAGCTGTCACCTCCCCTTTTGTGATCAATAAATATCCTTTTATTTCAGAGAAAAAACAGGCTATTAGGTAAGAACTGTTTAAAGCTTCTTGGTCTCCTCCTTACCTTCCACTCTCAGTCTTGTACTCTGTTCACACCTCTGGGGAAGTGGTAGTCCTTCACTTGTCTAGGACCAGTCCTCTGGGTGCTCTAGGTCAAATCCCTACCTAATTTCTCAGGGACCTACATCTGTCAACTTAAGGTTGTCCATGTTGTGTGCCGGTCTCAGTCTGTCAATAACCAGTGTTGTGGCTGAGCCAGCCCTTGTGGTTCTTAAGACTGCAAGATGCCCTTCAGCAATAACCGTCAGAAAACTGCCGGGTCGGGAGGGGGGGTGGTGGGGGGATGAGGGGTGAGGGGGAGGGTTATTATTTACAGGACCTGGAAATTATATGGCACACCTGAGACCACACAGCAAGGTCATGGGTAGAGGTGCAAGGGCCTGGGGTTCTTCTTTTATTGGGGTTGAGGGTGGGGGCCTAGGGTTTTGAGGGCTCACTCTTTATTGGTGAATTTAACAGGAATTAAAAATTTTTTTTTTAATTTTATTTTAAATTATTTATTTATTTTGGCTGTGCCAGGTCTTTGTTGCGGCATGCGGGATCTTTAGTTGCAGCATGCGGGGTCTTTTTTTTTTAAGTTGCGGCACACGGGATCTTTAGTTGCTGCATGCAAACTCTCAGTTGCAGCATGTGGGATCTAGTTCCTGACCAGGGATCAAACCCGGGCCCCCTGCATTGGGAGCATGGAGTCTTAGCCACTGGACCACCAGGGAAGTTCCTTAACAGGAATTTAAAGTGCAAGAAGAAAAAAAGCAAGTGGCCCAAGTGGTTAGTTATTGAAGCCAACCATAATCTCTAAAACAAACGTGCCTCAATGGAGGGGTGGGGGGAAGCCTGGCTTTTTATCTAGTTGTGTGGCTGGCAGTGTGTTTATTGGAGATAGCCATCTTTGAAGTGCATACCTTGGCAAGCAAAGCTTAAGTCAGTCACTTGGGTTACAAAGAAAAGGAAACCCAACTGTCAAGGCTATACTACACTCCCTCCTCCTTTAGTTCCCTGCTGGCGCCCTGGCTCCCCACCCTCATTTTTGTTTGTTTCATCACAAGAATGAAACTATTATCCACAAATCTACCAGTGACTTCCTCAGTGCTAGGCATAACTGACACTCAAGGCTTTAGCGTGACTAACATTTCTGCAGCATTTGACCTTGTCTGCATTCTTGAAATTCTCCCTTGACCCAGGCTACCACTCACTTCTGTTTCTAGGACTGGTTTCTGTTTCCTCCGTGGGCTCCCCGTCTTCCTCCTGTATCTTAATTATTGTAGTTTTTAGGGTTGTGTCCTTGGTCATTTATCTCACTCTGCATATTTCCCTGCCTAATGCCAGCCACTTGCATGGCTTCAACCGCTCCTGCTATTGGCTTATGACTTCCAGATCTATCATATCCAGTCCATGTTTTTCTTCTGAACCCTATATAGTCAGCTGTGCACTAGATATTGCTGTTTGGCTGTCACACAGGTTCCTTAAACTCAACATGTACGAAATAGAATTCATCATTATTCCCTAACAATTTCATTCTCCTATTTTTGCTATAACCCCAAATGGTCCCACCAATCACCCACTCTAAAGATACTGAATCTTGGGACTTCCCTGGTGGCGCAGTGGTTGGGAGTCCACCTGCCAATGCAGGGGACGCAGGTTCGAGCCCTGGTCCGGGAGGATCCCACCGAGCAACAAAGCCTGTGTGCCACAAATATCAAGCCTGTGCTCTAGAGCCTGTGAGCCACAACTGCTGAGCCCGCATGCCACAACTACTGAAGCCCACGTTCCTGGAGCCTGTGCTCTGCAACAAGAGGGGCCACCACAATGAGAGGTCCACGCACTGCAATAAGGAGTGGCCTCGCTCGCCGCAACTAAAGAAAGCCTGTGCAGCAACAAAGACCCAGCACAGCCAAAAGTTAATTAATTAATTAACTAAAAAAAAAAAGATGCTGAATCTCAGCCTATTTCTTTGCCCAGTATTTAGTTCCTTACCAAGTGTAACCACTTGGCCTTCCTAAAATATTCCTCAGTCTCTTTCCTTCTCTGCTCTCATTGCCACTGTCTCGGTTCAGACTGTCTGGATTACTGTGACAGCCTCTTGCCTGATCTTTCCATCTCTAGTCTTGCACTGAGAAACTACTGTTACTGAACCAGGTTCATTTGCCTGATGCACAGCAAGTCATTGCTAAGACCCCGAGGTTTGCAGCAGAGAAAGGGTTTATTCATAGGCAGCCAAGCAAGGAGATGGGAGAACAAGTCTCAAATCTGCCTCCTTGAAGAAAGAGGCTTAGGATATTTATGGGGTAAAGAAGCAGGGTGGTCTGAGGCTTCGGGAGAGGTGATTAAATTTTTAGAAAAAGATGAAGTAATTGGTGCTCTGCACAGGGGTATCTGAGTTACCTGGTTCTTCATGGGATGCATGTTCAGAAAATGGTGGGCAGCATTAGCA